CGTTACAAATCATGTGCTGACGTCTCCCCCTCTTTCCTCTCAGGGAGAACTCCGGTGGCCATGGTGACGTGCAGCACGATATCCAAGAGGTTTGTGAGATTTCTTAAATATATCGACACAAACATACTGATCAACGCATCAATTTGTGTAATTCCTTCTTTTGCTGCCCAACCCCATCGAGAATGGAGAGGAGGACGAGAAAAAGAGAACCATGTCCCGTCAGTACTCTGACATGGTAATTGTGGTGTCTTAATGCAATAGTTAAAACATTTTGAAAGGTGTGCATGTTGATTTGTTGCAAGTTTACCCTTTTATTTCCAGTATGAGGAGGTGGATGCCGAGAAGCTCCAGAGGCTTCTGAATGAACACATCCTGAAAGGTTGGAATTTATATATATACATATGGATATATGTATTTATTAAGCAAATGAAGCACCCTGACATTTTTGTGTTCATTTAGGAGACATGAAATCTGGAGGCTTCAGCATTGACGCCTGTCGCAGCATGGTTGCTCTGATGGACGTATCCTATTTGGTGAAGGGGTGTTACAGCGTTTAGCGTAGTTTGCATGAGACAAGTAAGCAGCCGCACATGCCAAAGCCTGCCTGACCTTTTGGTGTTCTCACACACATGAATGGGTGGAAAAGCTCCTCTTGAATCCTGAAACTACCTGCACAGCTCTGACCTTAATGTTTAGACATCCATCACCGGAAAACTGAATGATGAGGAGTTTGTTCATCTGTGGAACAAGGTCGTCGGGTACAAGGTATGAGGGACAAGGGAAGCAATAAACATCCCATAACAAAAGACAGTGGGGACTAACTGGAGATCGCATGGCTGTATGAGTTATTCAGTGTTAGGGTGCAACCTGCTATAAAGTCTATAGTGTTTTGTTTTATTGCTGTCAAGCTCAGACTTTAAGCCAGCTGTCTTCTCCTTTCTAGGATGTTTTCTTCCGCTCTGATGTTTCACAAACAGGAACACTTTCCCTGATTGAGCTGAGGAACGCAATCACGGCCTCAGGTGTGCACACAAGACACCACAGGGACCAAGAATAGAAACGTTACGATAAAGTTGATCAATGTGACTCGATAATGGACGTGTGAGCCCTCGCTGTGCACAAACAAAAACACCTGCTTTTGTTCAGCTGCATTTTGTGTTTTTCCTGTGTATATAGAAGCAAACCCTAAAGGGAACGTTTGCGAAAATATAAATCCTAAGTCAAGTTTTGCGTATGCTGGTCAGGAAACACGATCAACGATGAGATTCTGAACCTGATGGCGTTGCGCTACGGCGCCTCCTCTGGACACATCACGCTGGAGAGCTTCATCAGTCTCATCCTTCGCTTCGACCGCGTGAACCGTAAGTCAACCTTGTGAAACAAATAGATCTCCTGGTGCATAAACCACCGGAGGACAGGACGCGTGATCGAGACTCTCAAGTGCGTGTATTTGTTTTGTAGCACCCGTATCACCACCCTGCGAGTCACTCACGTGAGAATGGGGGGTGCTTGGGTTCGATGAATTGTAAAACCTTTTAACAAGAAGCTATTTTAAAAATAATGAGACCCAGAGATGGTTGTTCTTTTAACAAAAGTAAAATAAATAGGGTAACGCCCTTGTTTATTTAAATACAGTATTACCAAATAGACAAAAATAAATTACCAAAACTTCCCCAAAACGTAAATAATAAACTCTAAATTCAGTGATACACCCCAATAGAATCAATGACGTTACATCAAAATAAATGGTCGAAATGTTCCCGATCCTTAACTCGGAGAATACCAGTTTTTGTTGATATTGTTCTATATTCTATAAGAACTCCCCCCTCTAAGTGTCTTGAAACAGGTATTAGCCGATGCGGTGTTGGGCCCAATCACACACACAGCCACACATGTTCCAGTTACTTACGGCAACGATATGTACGGGGGGGAAAAACCCGCTGCAGGCCTGTTTGGTCTGGCAACACATTGAGTTCGCTGAAATCACTGTCAAAACATTGAGCGCGTGGAAACTCGGGTCCGCGATGCGAGTCACCGACACTTCCGGCCGGCCTCGCGCGCCGCGGCTAGCAAGCTCGGCTCCCTCGATGGCGACCTCCGCTGCTTCTCCCCCGCTCCGTCCGACGGGGTTTCGGCTTCGGGTTTTCCTCCGTTTCCGGGCTCACAAACACACCGAGTCCGCGGTCCACTCCTTCCAGCCTCCCGCGCCGGTTTATTCCGCCGTCTTATCTCCCTGCTAGCGTCTTTTCCCTCTTCCCCAAAAACGCCGGCGTACCGTCTCTTCATGACCCCTCGTTTTTTTCTGAAGAACCCCAAAACTTCCAGCACTTTCCAGTCACGTGTCTTCCCCGTTGTTTTCCAAACCAATCACCATTGGCTGTACAACTGACCAATAATACGGTAACATCAAACAGTAAGTAATAAAAGGCTAACGGCCTAAAACCTCTGTAGATTTTATTTAACTAAATAATATGAACCTGACATTAGTATTCATCACTATGACAAATATTACTCCATGCACGACAAATAAACATCTCCCCACTTAGAAATCAGGTGTCCCCTATTATTTATTTATTTATTTAATGTAAAATAAACATTTACTTTATTTAATAGGCAGGCACCTAGTTTTGAAAGTACGACTATAAGTCCTAAGTTCACCAGGGGACTACAGTTTTATAAACATTTGTGTCTTTCTCAAAAGAAATCTTCAGACATTTGTCTAATGGAAAGGACATGACTCTTCGTGAACCAGAGGTCGGTTAAATTTCTTTTCACTTGTTATTTTAGGCATCCAAAATGTGCTGAGCTGTTGAATTGATACAAAGGGAAATATTTTACTGGAGCAAAGCCATCTGTGTTTCATACCACTGTCACAGTGTGTTGAACTAGAAAAAAATGTACGCCTACACTTGAGCCCAATAATAATCTATCCCTCCCTAATTTGCAGTGGCTGTCCCTTTCGATGTACACCTGATCTGACTGAGAAGATGAAACTGCAGGATTCATTTGGAAATCTGCAGCCGATAATGTGAAAGAAAATGAATACAAAGGTGTTCTTCTGCAAAAGAGCTTTTACGTGTTATTAAGTCTATAAGATTTTAGTTGGATGTGTTGAAATAAGCAAATCACTTTGTGCTTTACAAAATAAATACCATATACAAACCTGTTGTATATATGTCTAATAAATATTTCCCCTATAGCTACTTATGCACACAGTATTGGAGACGTGTTGTTAATTTTCCACACGTTCCACATTAACGTCAAATAAGAAGTAAAACAGATTTCTCTTTCAATATTCAAGATATACTGTTGGATTTGATACATATAAGGAGAGTACCTCCTGTATCTGTACTTTTTTATTTATCTGAAGCACCAGGTTGCTAGGCAATGGGAGCAGCGGAGGTAAAGCTGATGACAAGGCAAGAAGTCATTTTACCTCAGCAACAAGCATCAATGGCAACTGAAGATAAAGACAACTGTAAGCCGTATTTTATAGATACTACTATTGTTATTAGTCACAGGATTAAATTTTAGGACTTTTTCCAGGCGAGAAGTTAGTTGTTCAAGCAACATGTCTGTGCTCAGTTGGTCAACATTTATGTTCTTTGGCCCACTTAAATTATGTCACAACTATACTTTCCGATCCAACAGAGTTACTCTGTACAAATGAGTCTACCAGCCATTTGATCGACCAGGAAAGACTGATTTCCCCTCAATGGACATCATCAAGGGACAAAGACCAGACTGTTTGTCTCAGTACCCCGTTAAATATCAGGGCTGTCCTCAACGTTATTGTTGACCAACCATCTAGTAGCTTTAATCGACAGATCTATTAAACAGAGTTTCTCCAAAAGAAATCACACAAAAGCACCACTTTAAATCTCGTGTTAACCGGTGATGCACTCCTTGTGGTGGTTGTTGTTGTTGTTGTTGTTTTTTCAATTACCATGAAAAAACATTAAACATGACAAATCGTCAAAATCTATCTTAGTCAATTAGTGATGGTACAATATTACAACATTTAAATTGATCAAATGACTTTAAAAAGCAGACTTTAAGACCATCGTGTTTAATCCAAGTTTTCATTAAGACACTGAAAGATTTTTGTTACTCTCTTGTGGCTTGAAACAGTAAAAAAATCAATGACGGAATCGACAGAATCTGAATCAGCTTCGTTGGCCAAGTATTGACTGCAAAGAGTACCGGAACAAATGATTACTGCAACATGTGGCTTTGTTTAAATGAGGTGGATGGATGTGACAGCATATACTGCATACTTAGATTCATATTGGTAGTTAAAAATTATATTATATTAGATGAGATTATATAGTATTAAAAACTATAAAATATGTTATTACAATCTGAGTTGTCATCATCATCACAGATATCAGATATCACATGTGTAGAAATCTTTTTTGTGCAGCATAATAAGACAAAATAATAAAACACAAGCAGACATTTTAAAGTAACATGAATCTAAGAAACGTAATAATTATTAGAAGAGTATCTGAAATATGATTACCTGGTATTATTTTCAAAAGGAGTACATCGTAGATCCAACAAATGTTTTAAATAAATACAAGAAAACTGATTTTAAGATTTAACATATTGCATGCAATAAATTTAACACATGTTACATTTGTACAACAAATGCACACTTTTAAATACTAAGACAACAGCAGCAGTGTGGATTGAAAAAGTAAAACTCTGTTTACCTCAATGTCAGTCATATCATATGGATGTCCTTGTGAGACAATTCGCATGAAGGTTTGATCCTCTAAAGTCATGCGGATTAGCCGAGTTGGAACTTGTGCGCTAACCAGACAAGTTGCTGAGCAAGTAAATGTCTGCATCAATATATTTCAACACTAAGGCAGCACAAATACACAAACAAAATAAAAGTTAGATTTGCGTAGTATCTGCCTGCATACCTGGATAAGATGTGGCAGGTTACTCGTTGCCCCGATTAGAGTTTTCTTGTTAAAGGAACGCCTCTCGCTGACAGCAGTGGCCTCAGGCGTTTGCAAGTATCATATAAGTACCGGAGTTTCTCTTCTTTTAAACTCGCTCTTCCACAGACCATCATCACGTCCCCTTTCTGACCGGAGAGGTAAGATCCAAGGTCCTATTGCTTGACTTATGTTCTTACTTTAGTAGCACTAAGAACTGTATGAAGGGCTGCTTCTGTTTTACTTTTAATGGTTTACTTTTATATTTTGTGGTCCAGGATGAAGGATAAAGTCACATTTCACTGTCATATTTATTTGACTATACCTGCAGTAAGTGGAGTTATTCCTGCAGCATGCAGTATTTCATGCGTGAACGTTCTCATGATAGTGTTCATGTTATGTTTAGATCTTTTTCTAACACAAAACTGTTTGGGGTGTAATAGTTATACTACTACTATAGAATCTTAAAAGCACACTTCAAAATCTTTTCCTCTGGATCTCCCTCTGCTGCAGAGGAGACTGACAGACTGCAGCGATGGCTTTGCCCGGCGTGTGCATGAGCATCCTTAACGCCCGTAACACGAAAAACGGCTACGGGACCTTCGCCAAACCCGAGCCGTTTCTCAACCAAGACTACGAGCAGCTGAAACAGTATTGTCTCATCCAAGGGGTGAGGTTCATCGACAAAATGTTCCCCCCCGACCAAAGGTCCATCGGAGGAGACGTACTCAAACCTGCTGACTTGAGCCGAGTGGAGTGGCTCAGACCCGCGGTGAGGCTTTCATTTGAACCCGTTGCTGAAAGATGCTTAGAGTCAACATGTATGAAGTGTGTTATATATATTCAACCTTCAACAACCGTCTGTTTAAGAAACTGGTTCCAAAGCCATCTTTTGAAGTTGACGGGATCTCCAGGTTTGACTTTGGTCAAGGAATCGTTGGTAAGCAAATTGCTAAATTCCTAATGATTTGTAAATTGTTGTTCCGGTAATGTGAGAAGCTAGTGCAGAAAAAACTGAACCTGGCCAGAGCGGACATTGCACCAATGTATTTCCTCCCCTCTGGACTGTTGTGGTATAATCAATGTTCAATGTAATCTGAAAACAACTCTCACCTTATTTCAAACTCAACGAGCGTTGTTCACACAGGAAACTGCTGGTTTCTCGCGTCTATCGGATCTCTGACGTTCCAGCAACAAATCTTTCAGCAAGTTGTTCCTCTTGAGCAAAGGTTTGATGAGAAATACTGCGGGCTGTTCCACTTCAGGGTAAATAATCGTCAGGAGTGGGTTCTGTTAGGTAGTAAACATCCTATATAAATCTCCTCATATTCTCTCTTTTCTCAACTACCCAGTTTTGGAGATTTGGGAAATGGGTGGACGTCGTTATTGACGATAAGTTACCAACGATTAATGGCCAACTGATCTTCGTTCAGTCCAGTGACCCGACTGAGTTCTGGCCTGCTCTGCTCGAGAAGGCCTATGCCAAGTATGACAAGAAAACTAAAATGCTTTTTCACAGATATCTGCCTTTTTTTTGGAGTATTACTGAAAGTAACGTCCTAACTGATCGTTTCAGAGTGTGTGGCTCTTACTCAGACATGAATTCAGGAACCCCTGATGAGGCTTTGGTGGACTTCACCGGAGGTGTTCACATGTGCATTGAACTGCAAGACCCTCCCGGAGACCTTTGGGAACTGATGTGTAGAGCTGGCCAGTCCAAGTCCCTGATGGGCTGTGGTACACCACAGGGGGTAAGCATGAAGCTTCTGCCCAAAACAACACATGCTTCTTCAGGATTTTAATTCATTTGAATCATCCAAACTAAATGGCTCTGCAGAATCTCACTAGTCTAAGTGTGACCTGGTGAGCACCGGCATTATTTCATAATAGTTTGTGCTTCTTTCATGAATGGTGAAGAAATAAAAACCTTCTTTAGTTCATGGTAAAAGTGTCTCGACCAAGACTATCTGCATGATAACACAAAGAGCCTCCTCATCTTACAGGACACAGCCGGCAACGCCGTGTTACCGAATGGATTGGTCCAAGGCCACGCCTACGCTGTCACAGGGGTCAAGCAGGTGAATTTGTTTTAAAGGAACTAAATACATACGTTTAATAAAGGCCTTAAATTGTTCTCTACTTTATATTGGGAAATAATTATTGTTTTCTTTCTTGTAATTGCTGGTAAGATGATGAGTAATGGGACACCAGTACAGCTGGTACGTCTGTGGAACCCCTGGGGCGCAACAGAGTGGAACGGAGCCTGGAGTGATGAGTAAGAACCACCCGGAGGTCTTTTTCTTGATTAGAACCACTTCACGTACACAATGTTTGTGTAATTCCTGTCTGGAGGGGTTGAGGACATTTTGCACCGAGTCTCGAAAAGCACATCTGTGGATGTCTTGTTATAACTTTCATGGTTGTGCCAGTTGAAAGTCATGCCTGAGCAGGGAAGTCCAGTTCTGACAGGTTTTCTACAATAATTTAGTAAAATGGCATATCTTTTAGCATAAGCTAAATCAACAAAGTCTTTAGTTAGTTAAGTTTTCTAACCGTGACCAAATTCTTATTAGACCAATCACAAGCCAACATTTATGAGGCACGTTTGTAAAATGTTGCACGTTCTAAAATCCTGCGCAGTTTTGCTACATTTAGCATTATCATATGAACAAAAAAGCACACCTTTTCAAACATTTAGAAATTCATATAAATGAATGCAATAACTTTTCCAAGGACAATGTTGGCAGTAACACAAAGTTGTTAAATAATATAAATGTTAAATGTAAATGTTAAATATAAATCTAAATGTTAAATGTAAATGTTTTTACATTTAACATTTAGATATAACATTTAACATTTACATTTATATTATTTAACAACTTTGTATGCCAAACACTATCCATGGAAGTTATTGCATGAATTTGTCTGAAAAAGTGACATATGAATATTGTTGTGGTTTTTTGTTCATATGATTATGCTAAATGCAGCAAAACTGCGCAGGATTTTAGAATGTGCGCCATTTTACAAACTGCGCCCCATAAACATTTGCAGGGGATAAGCTAAAACCAGCCAAGTTATGCTAGATGATTGCTGTGTACATTTTTAACTCTAATCCCCTTAGTTTTGTGTTGTGTCAGGTTTGCGTGACAGTGCTAAGCACACTGACAATGTTTGGATCAGTGCCATGAGAAATCAGAGACCTTCCCTTTTCTCGTCTTTGTTTTCACATGACTAGTTTTACTGGTTTAAGTTTACGGTCTTTGCAACACAACACAAGTTTTGTTTGACTGCAAATGCAGCTTATTGACATTTGGCCTTAAGATTATTTTCTTGATTATTTTCATTTGTTCAATTTAATGGAAAAAATGAATCTGCCCAGGTAAATTTAAAAAAAAGTCCAGTGTTCAAGCCCAAGACGTAAAAGTAATCACCTCTTTCTTTTCTGACAAATATTATCAAAGGTCGTCTTTGTGGCAAACTGTGAGTCCTCAAAATCGTGAGATGTGCCTTTCAAAGGGGGATGATGGTGAGTTTTGGTAAGTTTGCAAAAATCAACATTTGGTAACAGACATGAAATTATTTTTGGTGACATACTTACTAAATAGAAATCAGCAACTGCCACATTATTCATTTGTTTTTTAAAGAACCTTTCTCATATAAATGTCTTTGAATACAACCCGTATTCTTGACCCAAAAGGAAATTGAAAACATAGTTTTACCTACAAAAAGTACAGTGTGAGTAGGTACAATATGCTCACTATATCTGCAATCTATTTTGCATTGCAATTTAATCCAAATCTATTATTATCTAACTAAGTTATTAAGTTATTAAATGTAACTAAGACATTTAATAACTTAATAACTTAGTTAGATAATAATAGATTATTTGATTCGTGGATTGAAGTGAAACACTACAGTGAGGTATCTAAAATAATCCTCAATGTCAATCCCCAAAAACAGGATGAACCTGAAGGACTTCTGTAAATTCTACTCATCACTGGACATCTGCTCCCTGTGTCCCGATTTCCTGGATGGAAACTCTTCATGTCATTGGAAGACCGCCTTCTATGAAGGACGATGGGTTGCAGGAACAACTGCTGGAGGATCCATGAACAACTTTGGTACTTCTCAGATATGTGGTGCAAAAGCAGTCAATATATTTTTTTAAACGATAAAAATAAGAAACGGAAATAAAAAAATAAAATCTAAAAAATCTCCAAAAGTAATAATTAAAAAAATATTTTAAAAGAACATTAATAGATTAACTATTAAATATTAACGATTAAATATTCAAAAATAATAAAATTAAAATAATACAAAAAGAAATGAAGAAAAAATAAATTAAACAAGAGAAGGCAGAAACTGTGTTTGCGACATATGTTAATTGCTCCAATAATAAAAGGAAAAATAAAAGAAAATGTGTTTTGAGGGGAAAAATTCTGACAATAATATAATAATAATAGAATAAAATCTCTTTTAGAAAAAAATATATATAATTATTTAAAGAAAATGTTACGGGAAGAAACAATTGATAATCCTAGGAAACAGGGATCCAGGGATAATAAGCATCACAAAAAACACAAATCTTCCAAAAAATAAATTAAAAGAAATGAAGCAAATATACAAAAAATGAAAATAATTTTAAAATAATAAAATAAAAAAGCCATGGGAAGGCAGAAAATTGTGTTTGCCACATATCTTAATTGCTTCAATAATCCAAGGTAATATGAAATATTGTGTTTTGAGGGAACCATTAGGGTAATAGGTAGTCACCAAAATAAATATTGAAAAAATAAGTCCGAAGAAAAAAAACATTGAAAAGAATATTCCCCTACATGAAACTTGTTTTTTTTTCTTCATTGACAGATGAACAGAAAAATGTAATAATAATGAATTGTCTCCCTCTTTGCATTGCAGACAGTTTCTGGACTAACCCACAATATTGTTTCAAGATTGATGAATTGCTGAGTAAATGTTCTACGGAACAGGGTGAGAAAAACATGCTGGTGTCTCTCATGCAAAAGCCCGACAAGAGAAACAGACGCCTGGTCCAAAATCTCCACATTGGATTCTCTGTGTTTGAGGTAAATATTACCCTCCATTGTTCTTCTCTCACTGCGACGCCCACTATGGATATATGAGATATGAGCTGATTAACAAAAAAAACAAAACAACAACCCTGACAAAAAACGTAATTTTCCTCCAATTTCTTCTCAGGTGACTGGAGAAGTAAGTAACATTTTCAGTTGAATCCTGATCAATTACATTTAGCAGCTATGATATCAACTGAAATATGCATTCATTACAGTTCAAGGCACAGAGGGGGAAGTTCCCAGCCGCTTTCTTCAGAAGGAACCGACCTGTTGCCCAAAGTAAAAGCTACAAGAACGCGCGTGAGGTGATGGCGTTCTTTGCACTGAAGCCCGGCGAATACCTGATAGTGCCGTCGACCTTCAGTCCAAATGAGACGGCCTCCTTCATCCTGACCATCGTCTCCAAGGGAGAGACCCACGTCCAGTCAGTCACTCACGAATCAATCTGTTCAAAACACTTGTTGAATGAATCTATTTAAAACAAGGAGTTTAGCCACGGTATTTTATTAATTAGTCAGCAGCACCTGGGAACAAGCTGATCCCTAAACGTAGAAACAAACTGTAATGTCATTGCTGAAAGTCAAATGGCTGTAACGTGTTCCTAACTACTGTGTTACAAATCATGTGCTGACGTCTCCCCCTCTTTCCTCTCAGGGAGAACTCCGGTGGCCACGGTGACGTGCAGCACGATATCCAAGAGGTTTGTGAGATTTCTTAAATATATCGACACAAACATACTGACCAATTCATGAATTGGGTAATTCCTTCTTTTGCAGCCCAACCCCATCAAGAATGGAGAGGAGGACGAGAAAAAGAGAACCATGTTCCGTCAGTACTCTGACATGGTAATTGTGGTGTCTTAATGCAATAGTTAAAACATTTTGAAAGGTGTGCATGTTGATTTGTTGCAAGTTTACCCTTTTATTTCCAGTATGAGGAGGTGGATGCCGAGAAGCTCCAGAGGCTTCTGAATGAACACGTCCTGAAAGGTTGGAATTTATGTATATATACATATATATATGTATTTATTGAGCAAATGAAGCACACTGACATTTTTGTGTTCATTTAGGAGACATGAAATCTGGAGGCTTCAGCATTGACGCCTGTCGCAGCATGGTTGCTCTGATGGACGTATCCTATTTGGTGAAGGGGTGTTACAGCGTTTAGCGTAGTTTGCATGAGACAAGTAAGCAGCCGCACATGCCAAAGCCTGCCTGACCTTTTGGTGTTCTCACACACATGAATGGGTGGAAAAGCTCCTCTTGAATCCTGAAACTACCTGCACAGCTCTGACCTTAATGTTTAGACATCCATCACCGGAAAACTGAATGATGAGGAGTTTGTTCATCTGTGGAACAAGGTCGTCGGGTACAAGGTATGAGGGACAAGGGAAGCAATAAACATCCCATAACAAAAGACAGTGGGGACTAACTGGAGATCGCATGGCTGTATGAGTTATTCAGTGTTAGGGTGCAACCTGCTATAAAGTCTATAGTGTTTTTGTTTTATTGCTGTCAAGCTCAGACTTTAAGCCAACTGTCTTCTCCTTTCTAGGATGTTTTCTTCCGCTCTGATGTTTCACAAACAGGAACACTTTCCCTGATTGAGCTGAGGAACGCAATCACGGCCTCAGGTGTGCACACAAGACACCACAGGGACCAAGAATAGAAACGTTACGATAAAGTTGATCAATGTGACTCGATAATGGACGTGTGTCCTGTGTGTGTAGAAGCAAACCCTTAAAGGAAGGATAACAACGTTTGCAAGAACCACAGTTTATTGCTAAAATATAAATCCTAAGTCAAGTTTTGCGTATGCTGGTCAGGAAACACGATCAACGATGAGATTCTGAACCTGATGGCGTTGCGCTACGGCGCCTCCTCTGGACACATCACGCTGGAGAGCTTCATCAGTCTCATCCTTCGCTTCGACCGCGTGAACCGTAAGTCAACCTTGTGAAACAAATAGATCTCCTGGTGCATAAACCACCGGAGGACAGGACGCGTGATCGAGACTCTCAAGTGCGTGTATTTGTTTTTGCCGTCATAAACATTTGTGTCTTTCTCAATAGAAATCTTCAGACATTTGTCTAATGGAAAGGACATGACTCTTCGTGAACCAGAGGTGCGGTTAAATTTCTTTTCACTTGTTATTTTAAGCGTCCAAATGTGCTGAGCTAAAATATTTCACTGGACCAAAGCCAACTGTGTTTCATACCCCACCATAATAATCCATCACTCCTTAATTTGCAGTGGCTGTACCTTTCGATGTACACCTAGAGAAGATGAACTGCAGGGTTTGTTTGGAAAACTGCCGCCGATGATGTAAAAGAAAATGAATACCAAGGGTGTTCTTCTGGAAAATATATTTTACGTGTTATTAAGTCTATAAGATTTCAGTTGGACGTGTTGAAATAAGCAAATCACTTCGTACTTTACAAAATAAATACCTGTTGTATATGTTTTACAAATATGTATTTCTTAAAATCACGGTATTGGAGACGTATTGTTAATTTTCCACAGTATAGTCATTAGTAAAACACATTGGAAAAGAAAACCTGTTAAAACGCAGTAATTTAATCACTTAGCAACTATCTAAACTTACAAGTTTACTTGGAATGAGTTATTCAACCACTCCTCTCAGCAATGCACAATTGACTGTAATACAGAAAAGACATGTTGGCTTTAGAAAGATCACAAAAGGCAGACAAAAAAATGTTTATATTTTTATATAAAAATATATTTCTGTATTTGCGCTTATACCCTGAACCCAACGGCCTCTCTGTGTTGAGTTATACCTGTCACGGTGTGGTTCACTTCATGTTATATTTTGTAGTTTTCTGCCACTCGTGTTCCCGGGTAACTTCACTTCCTGCCTTGTCCCGTCATCCCCTGTGATCGTCTTAATAGTTTCCACCTGTGTCCAATCACCTGCACCTCCCCTAGTGTATTTAAACCATGTGTGTCTGTTGTCACTCTTCGCGTCATTGTCTTTCGCCACGCTTGTTCTTGTCTTTCGTCTTGGATGTCCGTAGTTTCTTGCCTGTGTGCTTTTGCCCCCGGTTCCTTGACCTTTGTTTTTTGACCTTTTGACTATTAAAGTCTTTTGTTTCGGAGAAGTCTGCATTTGAGTCCTGCCTTCCACCCTCATCCCTGACAATCCCCATGCTGTCGGGAGTTTGTTGGCATTTCAAACGCAGCCGTCAAATGATGGAGAGTTGAGAGCAAAGTGCATGAGGACAACAGGAAGTGTCACTAGTTTAACATGTTCCAGCCGGTAGAATTCTGCCTTCAAGACGATCACATGTGGGTACAAGCCGAGCGAATTAACAAAAAACCTTAAATTATTGATTGTGTGTACTGACAAAAAATACGGTCAATTTCTGTAAATTTCAATAAACCCAAAAGTCACATTTAAACACAAAATGATGAGTAATGTCAAGCAATCATCTATACTACAATTAGCTTTTAGGTTTACGAGAATAAACTGTTTTACATTGTCTTGCACTTCACTAATGTTTTATGTGAACAACTGCCAGCTTTTATAATGGCTCCCGTATGTTGGGATACAAGTTCACGGATTGTGTGTTGGAAAATATTCCTATTTTTCTGAGTGCACAGCGGCGTACTATCGATATGAAGACATCCAAAGAGAACTGCAGCTGCTGTTCTGATCGAGTTGCTCCTGAAGGCGCAGTCACACCTCAGGTACCTCAGCGTTCTAGGTGGTGTTCTCATTTTTATACACTACAAGGGTAAAGAATGAACAACTGCCCGTCTTTTGTAAGTGCGAGACATCGGGCAGATCTTTACTTCCCTGTCTTTTTTCTGTCTCTGTCTAATTATTCAGCCAATTTCAATTTGGTTATGGCACTTATTAATAACAACAAGCGCACTGTGTGACTGTTGGGAGCAGTGTAAGTAAATCACATCAACAACCCTCCCAAATCCTCCAATTCTAACCATGGACCATGTGTAAAATACGGACGTAACATGATCCTTTTACTACTGTAGAAGGATCAAAAGTGTTTTTCTGGTGCACGCAGAAACACTTATATGTTGGTGTGATATGTTTACTTCAAAAGCAAGATATACGGAAAAAGGGTTCTAGTTACAGGATGAGCTGATGATGAAAAAGGGCTTAATGTATATTTTATTGAACAAAATGGTCTTTGCAGCAGAAAATTATAAACATTAATAGACTACTAAATGTAAAACAGATTTTGAAATGTCAGCATCTGTCAAAACCATCATCTAAATTTAATGAAGTTTGATTAAATAACTCAATTCCATTTTAAACAAAGATTAATCATTATCATTACGGTAAAACAACAAGATCAAGATCTATATAGATAAAGACAACAAGGCCACGTCTCCCTGACTGTAATTATGAAACTATGAAGCATGTCTACATGCTGCACTGTTAACAAGTCAGCGGTGATTCCCTGCAAAAACAAAAACAAGACATCAGAGTCCTTCTAGCAACACGAGAGGGATGTTTACGTACTGAATAAAACATTTCGGTGCATTTCATTTGCAGAGACACATAAATGATCCCAGTCCGACCCAGTCCGATCTAATGACCTATCGACACTGGGTCGTCTGCATCGGGACATTAGCTGCTCCAATCACAAACCAGCACTGCTCCTTTAATATTTCCCATTGGAACGTTTCCCCTTTCCCAGTACGACCAGCAGAGAGCAGTAGAGCTCCAGTCAGAACAAGAGCAATACCCATGCATGTCCAACGACAGACTATACTAAATAATGAGTGTGTTTTATAACCGACTCCCTCCAAAGCCCGTCAGTACAATCGTCAATATGCAGACGTTTATACTAATGATGATATGATATTTACAGGCTGATCTCCCTTTCGCTTTAAACTACTCCGCGCAGGCATCGTGACAGTCATCACAAACAAGTGTTGCAGAGTAAGAATCCATGGCAAAAATAGTTCATGTACCTGTGCATTGTGGGGGTTGATCACTCCATTGATTTCCTTGGCAAACTACTGCAGCGGCCCCCTTTAACTTGAAACCATGGTAACAGGAGTACAGAGCGACCAGTTTGCCATTTGTAGAAGACAGAATAAAATCCCCGTTCTTTATCATTCTGGGAATGCCACACTGTTCCATGTCTGGAATTGAGAGATAGAAGGTTTTTCGTGTTAAATATTCAAAGGAATATATGATTTTTTCCTGTATGGGGAATATAGGACTGACAGGACAAGTTTTAAAGCCCACCGTGGTCCGTCTCCTCCTGCCAAGCTTCCAAATCAATCGAGGGCACACGATCACAGGGGATGTAATCATAGGGGTACCTCCCAAACCTGAAGGAGTCAGGAGGGACCTCCCTTATGTCGCTGTTGTCGCAGATAATCCGAGAAAGAGAAGCTTTTAAGAGCTGGGCTCTCTGCCGCTGGCTGAAGACGCCTTCGGCCTCCCACCAAAACCTGAAAAAACCATAAATGAAAGCACTTTGGCCTATAATATTAATATTGATTTATTTAAAGGCTAATGTACCTATCGCCGTCACGGAGTGCTTTCATCTGCTTTCCAATCAGGCAGGCGAAGAGAGGCCCGGTTCTTGAGCCCGGCGGCATGTGCTCAACAAGCCCCCCGAGCCACACGTCCACGTTGTCGGGGTGTTTGTATATTCGCGCCATCTTCTCTGCGACCGCGTGGTCCCTCACTACCCCTTTCAATCCCTCCATGTCCTTAATGCGCTCCAGTCCACAGAACGATCTCCAGTCGTTGTATCCTGAAAAGTCATTCCGGCACAAGTCACTGGGGAGTTAGCTGAGCCGTCTGTGAGCAGCCAGCTGAGAGCAGAAGATGAAAAACATTATCACGGCGGATTATGTGCCGGGCTAATTCACCACAGTGACTCGCGGCGGCCTCCCGCGTATCGTCTCTGTGACTTGACGGGCGCGTGTGGTGAATAGTAACCTGGGAGGGCGTGGTCCCGTCCTCTCTGCAGGTTCAGCGAGGCCAGATCCATGGGCCGTGGCAAGTTCAACACCACCAGCCTCTCGGTGATCTCCTCCGTCAGCAGCATGTCAGCGCTGCCAGCTGATGCTGCAGTTCCGAATGCACCTCTCAGGATCGGTTCGATTCCACCTGGAGACAATTCCATCACGAGCTATTGCTTTTTTTCTCATGCGGGATTTGACGTCACTACGCTGCAAACAGCATGCTCACTTTTACTTGCTTGTTGTCCCCCATCCCACACATACAAGAAACAACAGAAAGTAGACGGTTGCTCTCCCCGTCCTAAGCTTGGATTTTCTGCTTCCCCCGGGCTCACTGGCGTCCAATTTCATGTGAGCAACCAGGATGAGCGGGCTCGGGGATAAATACTTTATTATAACAACAACAAGGGACAGCTTGACTATTTAACACATTCCTCATTCCAGGAAGGGAAACATTGCAGTAAAATGACCCCGCAGATACAAACTAGCACGTACACGCCGATGACAGTTGTTTCGCTGCATCAAGTTAGCAAAGGCTAATAAACAAAAGGGTCACGTGGACAAGAAATGAGGTTAAAAAATAGAATAATTTGCTGCGTAATTGTTTGCTAAAAACAGGCCTTTTACTGTGCTTTATGACAGATAATAGACATAATTCTAATACAAGTAATTCCACAGACAGTCATGCTCAAGCTGACCTACATAGAGTATCGCTCCATGTGCTTACGGGATACTTTATTTGTTCGGGCGGCTTCATGAGAGCGCACTGACCTTCTTTGACTATTCTCCACGGACTGAAAAAAGTTTGGTGCAGCCTCAAGTCGCCGAAGTGCTCGTGCGTCTGGAAGCTCTCGTTCAGCCTCCTGAGGACGGGGGGGATGGTGGCGTGGCCAAACCTGAACGCGGCGGTGGCAAACACATTGGAGGCAGAGGGGTCCGTAGCTGGATCGTATCCCCGATAGGGTCCAATGTAGGAATCAAAAGCCGCCTGGCCGATGATTTTCGGGACATAGTCTCTCATGGTTATGATCTGGAAGTCATGACAGAGAAGGAGAGCGGTCCGCAAAGAAGCAACAATCATCTTTTACGCGGCCATGGAAGAAGGAGACGGGGATGATAACGTAGACGTACAGTAAATACACACAAGATGTTCCTTAACTGAATCAAATACGTCCACTAAAAACTGCCTCTGCAAACAATTGGAAGAGTTAAGTCCGCCTAATTACACACTAATCCTAATTATTTCATTAATTACTGAGCCTATTTTGATGCATTAAAAAAAGCGTTTTCCCAGTGACTTGGTGAGAATAATGCCGTGTGAACACAGCATCCTGCATTTGCCCTGTGAGATTGTTTGCAGGAAACATCTGTCTGGGCGCTTGGTGGGAGCTGTTGGGATTCAACCATATGGACCAACACAACACAACAGTGAGCTGGAAGCTGCAGAGTTGGATTGGCTCTTTTTTTCTTTTCTTTAAGTGGGATTGGATGAGTGGCAACATTAATGTTAATACATTAAGCATCGATTCATGTCTTAACGATATAACACGTTTAGAATGAACCGTAGTGGCACAGCGGGAGGTGGCTTCATCATCGGCAAACATTACCAATGGGAGATGGAATAAACTGTTAATGCTGCTAATGGGTGACCCAGAAATACAGCTGTTCTACTGGTGAAGCCACCTGGTTATCCGATGAGGGGATACAATGTGCAGATTTTTGCACATTGTGCACAAACATTACTTAATTGAAGTTAAAACTACACCACATTTCATATCACTTTTGTTCTAAAAGCTGCAGCAGGTTTAGGCCACAAGCAGCGAGGTGGCCGATTGCAGTCAACAGAAACATCTGTGCCAAGAGAGCAGAAGTAGTCCTTGTTATATTTCATTTCTGCCAATATATCTACACACAGTTCTTGTAAAATAATCATGTACTTCCCACAATGTTGGGAAGGATGAGGCATAAGACAAAAAGTGGATAAAAAGCTAAAAGAAATAGCATGTTATTAGTTTAATAAAACATAATTGAATCACGTTATCATAACCTAATGGTTTGAAAAAAGGAGAATTAATTTTCTAAATCAGCTGAATTTTACAGTAACCTCAATGGAGAATCTGGTTCTCCAGCGTTCTTCTTCCTGCGTGACAGTAATACTGTGTAATTTGCAGGAGCCACGCACAGCCACAGGGTCTGACTGTGTCCCTAAGCCACTGAGAAGAGGAGAAACATGGAGATATAAAAGTGGAAGATGTGGAAAAGAGTGAGAAGTGTTGAAGTGCTCCTTTAATTCTGCATCTCCTCTTTATTTTAGATTACAGTCTGCGGGTCAGCAGGCACAGACAGAACCTCACATTTCAGCTCCAGCATGTAAATCCTCTCCCTGCCTGTTACGCTCCATCTTCACCAAATGTTTTAAGAACCCGTTCTCTTCCCAATACTGTAAATCTCCTCTGGCCTCGTTCCTGGGTCACCTGCAAACAGCGCTGACACAATCTAAACTTACAAACCGTGCTCAGAGACGCTTGAGAAACACACCGCCTGTAGCGTGACGCCCACTCATCCCCTGCACTAAAAGCAGTGCACCCCTTCCGCTTAAAAAAAAAAGCTTTTTCCTTCACTGTTTCTTTCTGCACAATTTAGCCAACATTTTCTTCACCTTGAAAAATGCCCCCGCCTCCAGCTAATATAAATACTGCATCTCTACCAGCAACTGCAAGGAGAAACCCCACTTAGAAACAAACACACAGAGACAAGAGTGAGGAGAGACAGCAAAGTGTTTGCTTTTGCACAAAGCCTGTTGAAATGATGACAGATTTTCTACTGAGCAAAGCGGGCTTCACTTCACGGTCTGAATGGATATCAGCTAAGAAGAATAGACCATTCAAAGGCACGAAACGCTGAGGGAAAAAAAAAAGCAAAAGTTAGTGTCTAACACAGGTCTCCATAGGAACAGAATACTTCCCAACTTGTGTACTTTAGCTGCTTGTGATCAGGGACAGAACTTATCATGGAAATGATGAAATAGGAGCGGAGAGAAGCAAACTCAACCAAGCAGACGGCATTAAAACCAAAACCAAAACTACAACTGTAATATTTGTGATCCCTTCCGTGTGAGCGTTGGATCTGACCACATGACCTTCGTTCTCATCAAGGTTTTCGGGTTCAAACAGCTAACACGCGCCCCTTTCGGTTTCCCGCTCGCGCACCTGATGCAGCGCGCCGACGACCTTGCGCGCCTCTTGGTACACGGTCTCCGGGCTCCAGTGGGCGTTCACGCGCCTCAGCTCCCCCGCCATGCGATTGTGCTCCCGGAGCCACAGCGTGTGCAGGCTGGCCAGCGGCAGGCCCTCGTTGGCCCGGCCGTCCCCGGCGCCGAAGCACTCCACCCTCTCGCCGCGCGGCGTCTGCAGGCAGGCCGAAGGCAGGGCGGACGCGAACGGCAGGTAGGCCCGCCCCCCGGGGTCCCTGAAGCGCTCGTTGACGGCGAGCTTCCCGCTGCGGCCCGAGAGGTCGCGGAGGAGGGCCCCCCGCCGAGGGGTGTGGCCGTACACCGGCGAGGCGTCGATGAACGACGTGATGGCGTTCATCTGCTGCCGCCGCCGAGCCCGTGGGACGTCGGGACCCGGGGCCCACGGGGCAGGCCGGCGCGGAGCGATGGAAGGGCATGCAGCTCCGGGCCCCGGAGACAGAGGCCCCTGTCTGGGGGAAAGCAACACACGCGCTCTTCAAATAGTTCTGGTCAAAGGTCCTTTTTTAAATTTGCTCACTTTGCCCTGATGTCCCTTTAACGTGACGCTGGTCCAGTCATTTTAATCTCATCAACCTTAAAGGGGGGGATTCAGTAGCTTCTTGGTAACTTGACTAATCCTTGTGATTGGATGCCAGCGATGAGTGAGGCAAAGGTTTGTCCCAATCTGTCCCCCGGGGGACGGACAAGTGAAAATGGGGAACGTCCTGCTTTCCCAGAAACCCGCTTTTTAAGGTGTAAAAACAGGTCAACCGGAAGAAGGAAACCAGTTGAGGACGTAAGGAGTACTGACCAATCTCACCACTGGACTATTTGCGGTCGGGAGCAGTGGATTTCTAGACTGCGGGGGACATCGGGGACATCCGGGCAATACGGGAAGTCGCCCTTTCTTCTAATGTAAACTAAACAGCTTCTGGCTCGAGCTTCGTATTGAACGGACGAATACGCCAGTGATCGTCTCATCTAAGCTCAAACAAGAGAGCCACTATTCCTACTTCCCCAAATGTGAGAATATTCCTTTACAACACACCTTTATAACTAAAAAAAAACACTGTTTCAGTTCACCTCGATGGGAAAGCACGGGTGCACGTTCTGACACGTGTTGGAACAGTCCGCCCCGGTCCCGAATCCAGCGTAGTCTTTGCTTTGGGGGGTGAAGGTCACGTCGTGGTCGATGTACTGGCCCCACTCCACCAGCAAGTGAGAATAGACGCCATCTGTCTCCTTGGTGGAGCTCCTTATTATTTTCTGGCTGACTTCCCATGGCTGTTAGCACGGTAGGATTAGTTCTTTTGGATGACAGTGAAAACTACTTTTCTTTTAACAGTGTAATTGCATTTTCCTCCAGCTGTCTCTGCGGTGGCTCGTCATTTATCAGCCTGTGTTTTTATTATCTCATCATGGACGGAAATGAACATATTTTCTATTCTTTCCCAGTCAGGGTTTAAACTGGATGACAATTAGTTCATTCTTAAATTCATTAAGTTGTGTTATAAATCTTTCACACTCACAATTTATTGGCGATTAGTTTATTATTAAGATTATTAATAATCTAAAGCACTTAAGTGGATTGTAGCGCGAGGAGGTAAACTGAGTACATTACAACTGATGCTTCCACCAAACATCCTCACTCTGCATAACGAGTGCATAAATTAACACTGTAAGTCAATGCAAATATTAAGAGTTTAATTTGCTGTTAAAAAAAAGTTTATGTCTGCAAACTGCAACTCATTTCACGCTATGAAGCCAGTGTGTTTTATCTCTGTCCACAAAATTGGAATGCTGCCGGAATCTGTGTCATCTCACACACCAACGCCTGCCGTCCCTGAATCGCCGTGGACTCTATCTGCTGTGAAACAGGTCAGGAACATAAATGCAAAGCTACATTTTTTTTGCAGGGTGAGTTTGCTTCTTTTCTAATTCCCGCACCCAGACCCGTGTGTCCGTTGGAGCGGCGTTGGCTGGATTACCGGCGGGAGTTGGAATCCATTATGGAGGCGGCCTCGGTTCCAACCCTTGGGTTCTCTCTCTCCGTCTTCGTATTCAGCTGGAAGCCACCTGACCAAGGGGGTGTTGGCGGCTCCCCACAGAGGATTTTGCCTGAGAAGAAGAATCGTGAAGCACGTCCAAAAACAAAATTGTTTTGTTTTTCCAACATGTATTGAATTGAAATGAAAACAATCACGGTGGGACGTTTCCCGTCTAACTTAGTATCTTATACCTTTCTACAATGAACATTAAAGTCAAAGTTAAGTTGCCATTGCACTTTAATGTGACTTCATTGTTCCTCGGCCTGCGTGGTTCTGAGGGCAGCGGCCCGTCGGCTACCTGTTGTTGCACAGGCCGGAGATGGAGCGGTACTTGTCGAGGGGACTCTGCAGACAGGCGGCCGGGTGCGGCACTGGAGGACATTTGGACAGCTCCGCTATCAGCTCCACGTCCTCCCAGGAGAGCGGCTCTGCCATATTGGTGACACAGATGTGGGATTTCATCCCGCTTAACCTTTGGAGCAAATTCGAACCCGAGAGTATTTCATCACATCACGAATTCAGTAGTTTAGATGTTGCTTTGATGCACCAGTAGAACGTAAATGGTGCCATTGGGTCAATTAGACTGGTTTTGTTGTCCGAGTGGCTCCAAAGGTTTCTCTCCAGGTGAAGGTGTGTGGGGGGGGGGGTTTCTACCTGGTGCCGTGACGTCCCTCTCGTATCTCGGCCTCGCGGTGCTCTCCAGGACCTGCAGGGTGGCGTGAAACACCTCCGCGGCCTGCGTAACCTCGCGGGTCTCAGGCTCGCTCTGCCGGAGCCACGTCGGCGCGGCGCCGCTGCGTCTGAGCGCGGCGTGCAGGGATGAGCTTTAGCGTCTTTTGTCCTGCGTTTGTACAGTGCGGAGAGACAGGAAACAGGGGACAAATACCGTTGTCCGGAGAGGAGCGAGGCTTCGTGTACAATCCGAAGGCTTTCCCGATGGGACGAGACGAGCAGTTCTCTCGCGGGCCTCGTTGCTGCTTAGACGTGTGCGTGTGGTGACAGAACAGCATTAAACATTTCCACTAAAGTATCGTCTTTCAAAAGAGGTGGAAAGTAAATATCCACCAAAGCACTTGGACTAAAATACAATTTTGAGACTTTGAGACATTTTTGCTTCCATTAAAAACATATTGCTTTTTAAAGAAAATGGATTGTTAAGAGTTTTATGTCATAAGTCCATGAAAGGTTTCTACTGTCGTCATTCAAAATAAATCTCAGGTTCAATTCTACTTTAAACAAAGAGGAGCATCCTTGGTTTGTGCTTTTATATCAGCACGTTGCATGAAGAACTTGTGAGCTGTTAATACTTTTCAGCGCAGGCTCGAATGATTAATTGCACCGCTAATTTGGGACATATTGAGCGTCACATTTTAAATATTAGCAATCAACAATTACAAAAGACACGCAGGAGTTCACGACCATTACGAGCAGCGTGAAACAGACGTACAGTGGAAGCTGCTTCTATGGCTTCATCTAAGAGGAGGGCGATGACCACATTTTGCTGATCTATTACATCATTTAACAAAAAATAAAATTAAAAAGTTACTTACAGTTCAGCGGGCTGGATTCATCATTCGAAACCTTTGGGAGAAAAACGCAGAGCAACACGAATACAATGAAATGAAAGGAGTGACGAGCCATTTTTAGTGGGCTGTTTCCAATGGAAGATTGGGAGATTTTCACATCATCACTGCAGCCTGTGCTTATATATTCAGATAGCGTAGGGAGCGCTTTGCAAAGGTTAAGTAGGCGAAACCGCCCCCACTAGAATAACTCAGAAATCCTGTGTTTTTCTTGTCGTCGCTCGACTGGTTTGAGAATAACTTGTCCCCATTATTTTAGTCACTTGGATATTTGGTTGTTGCTTGAACACTATGTAAGAACTTTATTATGCTGTATTATTATGGCCCATTTTATTCCTCTAATCTGTCAGGACATTTTCAGTTAAATCTGCACATTTCACTGACGAATGCAATGATCCCAATTACTTTATTTAATGGCCCGGCGGTCCTGAAGTTTCCCAGTAAAACTTCTGCACACCACGCACACCTCGGTGAGCGTTCAGGGTCCGATGGCGCCGGCGGGCTGAACCGTGGGAGTCGCGGCCCGCCGGCAGCCGAGCGGTGCTCTGCAGGTTCACGCTTCGCGTGTTGCTGATGCAACTCCATGACGCAACCGGCGGTGACTTCTGTGGTCGCAGTTGTGGCTCTTTGTGTTTGAGCTTCGAGGCAGAACAGTTTTATTCAAAACTTTCAAGGAAAGAATCTCAGACCTCTAAAAACAAGATTTTACAAGAGAATATAAAGACCTTGATTATTGTAATATGCAGAAGATAACCCACACCTACACAATGCGATACAACATGACACTTAATGAATGCATTTTCTTATCGACTTTCCCTGTTGCATAAGGAGCCGGCAGAACACCCATAATACTCTAAATTGGCATTCAGCTGAGAACCACCTTTAGTGTCTCCAGTTCAAACCTTCAGAAAGTCAGACGACAGAACGAAGCAATCCCCCCGAAGACGTACATTTTGTGCGTCGTATTAGTAACGCGAGTGCATCTTTAGTGATAGTTTGAAGACAAAGTGTCCTCCTCGTCTGGAGAGATCAGAAACTCCTTTATTCGGTTGAGAAGAGATGGTCACAATAGCACAAACATCACACAGGTTGATCAGAGATGTGTTGAATAAATCCAGTGGGTGTTTGGAGGCTTATGAGACTGCGTTTGTGTTGCGTTTGTGTTCAGACATGAAAAGAATGTAGAGCAAACCGGAGGAACTGGAAACAGAAAGGTTAGCTTTTTCATTACGGTCCCGCTGTGAGTTTTGAGTAAAGAGAACCCCTGCGAGGCTCCAGACTCACGGCGTCTGTTCAAAGTGTACGTCGGTCGGGCCTCGGCGTTCGAGGTTACCTGCTAAAAATAGTGGCAGCTTCTTTGCTCGGCGACTCGCGGCGTCGAGCGTATGCCGGTTTCTTCACCATATGGCAGCACAGAAAGCGTAACCACGGAGATTCCAGTTTGTCACGAGTGAGAAAAAACAAACAAAAAAAACATCAAGTCAAGGAAAGGAATAAAACTGTTCATACATTGCAATCAATCAACTCATTAACATTATCTACTTTTACAGTTTTTTACAAATATGTTTTATTATTCGGTAGTCCGTACAAAAATAGCGAGAACAGGATGCACGTATCAACTGGCTCTGAAACAGGGGCGATGTGCACAGGAGGAGAAGAGCTCATGTGTGTCCAGGGAGGCCGTGACTGCACACAAACAGAGGGTCCACGGAGGCCACTTTGGCAGCAATAAAAGAATGTATACAGTGAAGGACGGCTGTTAGATTAGCAAACTCCAGCTCCTGAAACAGAGGGACGCATCGGTGAAGAGGGTTACATCTTGGGTAACACTTTCAAACTCAAGATCTCACTCGTCGTTCTGTAAAATGAGCCGACATCAGGGTGCGATTGTGGCGTGGAAAGCGAAGTTTTAATCACCTTCATCTCTATTTGGTTGCTCTCGGCGTTCTTGAAAAGGAGTTTCACCCTGGTTTTCCCGTCATCAGAGGAGCCTTTGAGTTGGGAGAACTTGTATCGCCACAGCGCCGTCTAAACAGGAGGGAATCCGACGGCGGGTGAGATTCAAACCGGCGCGTCGCACTACAGAGACCTGCGCGACAGTCGGAACCGTTAGTTTCGGCAGCGGAACAGAGCACTACTACACCTTTGAGGAGCCTTCTGCGCAGGAGAAGCCCGATCCGAAGTCGACGGTGAAGCTCAGCACGCTCCCCTGGCTGCTGCACATGTAGCTCTTGGACTGTGGGGAGAGAATCGGGAAGCGTCAGCGAAGAGTTTTCCTGAAGCGGCACGCGTGCATGAAGCACTGTGCTACATAAAGGTCACAGTCACCCGTCACTCACTAACTACGCTGCACACTATATTAATAAATAACGTCCTTGTTCGCAGCTCGGCGAATGCCCCCACTGCTGATAGGGGATGGATTCATAATTCACTTGGTATTCACATGCACTATCTCGTCGCTGTCTTCGCGTGTGTCAGCGAAGGCCAGCGGACCTTAAACAAGCTCGCTAAGCTCGCTTTTCTCCCCCTCCAAATAAAAACTTTTTCACCGCAGACATTTGTCCCTCTTCGCGCCGGCAACCGCGCTGTTCCGTTTGTTCCCGCGCGATTGACACGATGGCAGGAAGCTGGAAAACAACGATGGCGTGCCGCGAGGAAATGGGCCACGGCTCATTAATGAATGGATCCATTGGGCGGCGCCTGAGCAGTTAGCCCGACGAGCGCTTCATGCGAAAAGGTAAAGGCTCATGACAATAAGAGTACCAATAGGATTGTGTATCCTATTCTGTTTTGGTTGGTGCAAATCAAAAAGGGCTTAGTTTGGAAGAGTTGATAACAAAAGCCAAATTGAGTTGTTGTTTTTTTCCCCCTGCATGAGCTTTCAGCCAAAGCAGCGTCCAGCGAGGCTCCCCGAGGACGACAAGACGCAGGACAGAGGAAATCCATTCCTCCATATTCACCCTGCCGCAGCGACACAAAGAACCCGCCGTCTGACAATTCTTTTTTTCGCCGTTTTAAAAGCAGCGACGTGTGAGCGCTCGGCTCTCCGCGGGGCGATGTGCCTCCAAAGGCCGTTCGTGCAACACCACTTCATTTTTATTGTCATCCTCTCCAACAAGTGCATTCAGATTTACTGTTTGTGTTATTTATGCCGTATCTTCTTTACACAGTGAGGATTTCAATTACAGAGTGCAGTGTGCGCTGAACGCGGGGGGGGGGGGACGACTGTGTAGTCCGTTCTCAGACCTCGGCCTGCCCGTCTTTAGTGGCGCCGTTATCCAGCTGTGACGGGGGGAGGAGGATGGGGGGGCAGCGGCAGGCCGGCCGCTAAATCCTTGCTGTCGCCGCATGCGAGGCTCTGTGGTGACACGGGGAGCTGCGACTACACTCCCATAATTGGAAAGGGATTTTTTTTTTATTCTGGGAGAATTAGCGACATGAAATGTATGAAATGTTTGTTTTTAAGAACAGGATAAAGGCGTGTGTCGGGATTGATGAATAAAAATATATATATAACAAAACGTTTATTCTCACTAACACTTGTTTTCCAGCGTTGTTTAAAAGGACAAAGAGAGGGGGATGAATCTCTACCAGTAAACCCCAAATTTAACACGTAGCACAAGAAGTTGGTCTTCTAGGAACTACGACAAAAAGAGCAGGTGGGGAGATGCAGGGAGGACGGTTTTGTCCGTCGTACCTCCTGCTACCATCGGGATGTTCACGTAATGCTCACATGCAGTCACGGTTATCCTGAGTTGGACGGTTGAGTAACAGGACGCCGGCCTAATTGGCTGGAGAACACAGAACCACAAGCAAATTTAAATGCTTCATCACTTTTATCGGTTTCCCAAAGGACGGCGTCCCACATTTGCATCATTAAAGACAGAAGAAATGCTTCATTATCATATTTCATACTTTCATACTGATGAGCGCGGGGAAACTGCGTATTCAGAGTACACCGTTAATAACCATCGCTGCCATCACGGATTCAAAAGTCAAATATTGGCACATTATTCAGAATTGATAAAGGTGAATATATGTTTCATTTATTATTGATATTTAACATAAATACGTGTTCATATGGCTGCTTAGACCGAATTTAAACATTCCCCATTTGTAACTCGCAACCTGAAAGCTGACATCCAGAGTGGATTCGGCCCTGTTAGCCGGCGATGAGCTAACCGCTAAACACTGATGCATATCACCCCCCCCCCCCTCCTTTGAAGCTAAGCCTGTGTGGAGCAGCAGAGGAGTTCTGCACTGAGACTTATTCATGTTTCCTCTCTGGACAAAGACTCAACCGGTTAATGTACGAGCTCACAATGTGAAGGGATGAACATGGAGCACGTATCCAAGCGGTTCCCTCGGACTTGTGCGCTTCTTTATTAGCCTCCTCTACTGGTTCCATACCTCATGTAGCACCGGGTGCACAGAGGAGACAGAAGACCTAATCTACACGTGACGGTGCCCAACGTCACATGTTTCACCGCTGACATTCACACATGATGCCAATGAGAGCAAACAGACTTCTTCCCATCGGCATTGGGACGGAGGTGTCAGTGAATCCGCAGGTCATTTAAGTAAATTAACTTAAACTCCATTTATGAGCGCTTCATTTTTCCAGACTTCTAAAGCCTGAAATGATCCCCCTCGTTAACTCGTCCTTCCTGGGCGCATAACAGCATCTCTGCCAATTACATTTCTATATTACTGAAAACTAAAACCTATCAGTAGGCAACACGTCGCATGTTTACCTCCCGCATGCGAGACGTGTTTTTCCTGAAAACATCGTCCCGCATGCGTCGTTTGTGAAATCAGGGTGGAATTTCTCGCCCGTACAGAGCGAGCTGGCCGCTCTTAAAGGGCCGGCGCGTCCTCTCTGCGTTTGTCAGCGCAGCGTCCGGGGAAATCACAGCAAGTGCAATGAGCTCCCGCTTCAGCAACTGCAGTTTGGAAGTCGGTTCCCACAAGTGTTTGATGGCAACACTGTTTCCACTGATTGCGATCATGTTAATTGAATGCGGAAAGCGTTTGAGTTTGAGCGGTGACAGTTATGAAGTGGGAAATGATTTGTTCCTCATGATGCTCAAAGAAAAGACTTTGCCACCTTTATCTTCGTCACTAAAATCCACCTTCATATGAACTATTGAGGTCGGCAAAAGACGTTTTCGTTGGTCTGAGCAAGACTTTTCAAAAATAGATCAGGGGAACGGAGCCGACAGGAGGTCAAAGTGACGTTGACCTTTGACCACCAAAAATCTAAAAGAGATTTTTACTAGTGGACACATGAGCTCAATTTGAAGTCATTCCCTCTTTAAAAAGACGACCTAAAATAACCACTTATAAGAATGTCGTGTTTCAGCCTCTGGATTAAGCTGTTTTTAAGCTTTAGCAGTTGGAAGAATTAACTGGAGAATGTAATTAACTTTAGTAGTAATTATGACTCGACTCCCATTCACCAAAACCTTAAAAGGGATTAAACGTGGCTTCTGAGACGGCGGGACGACCCCGCGGCCGCGCTGGCCCAGCTCCCCATGTTGACCCCGAAAAGGATCTCAGTGTGCTGCAGATTCAAACATCAGCTGACAGGTGCTCCGCTTTGTATTATTTATAAGTGTCCCTATTTGAGGGTCCCGAGTAACAAAGCCCCCCCACACCCCCCCGGGCTTTGTAACATTTTTAGCCATTATGTTTGGTTGGCTGCACTTGATGGGTGGAAATGGGCTGAAATGATTAAAAAGGAGCATTTGAGGGAGAGTCTGAGCTCACATGTGGAAGGTTTTCTGTATTATTGAATACGTGTGATATTGTGATATTTGTGCCGTTATCGTCTTATTATGTGCAGATTATTTGACAGGTTGTCTATTTTCCTCTCTGCTATTGTTCTTTGAATTGTTCAATAAAAAGTGAATTACAAAAATGCCTAATATTTGTCAGGACTGAAAATAAGCTTTTATTGGTCTCATTAGTGTATTCCCAGATGTAAAACCTCTAACGCATCGCTGGTGTCATTCTTATTGCCTGAGAGGCGTTCGTGTGCATTGTTAATAATGCAGCTGGAACTTGTTGACTCGTCATTAAGGAAACTTACAGATACACATTAAGCTGCATAATTACGTCCCGAAAAGAGAAATCCATGTATCGACTTTTGTGTAATTTGACCCTTTTAACGGTGTGAGTGGGATGGAAGCCGTGTAACGATGTATTTATTTATACATGTAATTGACTATATCAATTAGAGATGCACTTAAGGACTTGAGTGTTTAAGCTTAAGTGGATTTCCACTTTGTTGTTTTTAACTTTTTCATTGTAATAAGTGGGAAGCTTCAGAGTTGCTCAATGCACAAACAGGGCAAATAACTATTCTTTAGGATTCTGTTAAGTTTTTTACATCCTTACATTTTATTTACTTCATTGTCTCGTAGTTCGCACACAGGGCGGTGACCAATTCACAATCAACATCCAATTGGTATTGATCATTTTTATGTGCACATTTGTTCAGTTTATTTCTGCGCAGCTACTGAGACACACACGTCACACTATCAGTAACATAATAAATGCTTATTTAGCTTATTCCAGCTCCTCCACCCACATGAAGGGTGCAGCAGGATGCGGCCGGCAAAGCTGTCGGTGTCTGAATATATTCGAACATGTGCAGGATTCGATCGCCGCATCGTTGTCATTCAAACATTTATTTTATGTTTTTTTATCTTAAAAACAGGTGAAACCATCTTAACAGATAAATTAAGCCGCACAGCATATTAAAGCGTTAAAATGTCTGCTACTTATACTTCAGAACATTTGTTTAAAAAATATATGAATACATGATTTTAGGCAAAATCAATTGCATGGGTGAGGTTTCATACTAAATACCTCAGGCTACAAACGAATAATGCCGGTGAATCATAGCGCAGCTTTGAAACAGTGATTTATTATTATTGTCTCGCGCTCGTAGGCGTATTTTGTATTTAAACGACCTGTGAAATTAGACATAGCACATTGCACACAGGTATCAAGCTGGGATGAATTAATGAACTGCACAGCTGTTTTTGGGGCCCTGCGTGCGAGAGCCAGACAGCAAATGGAAGCAAAGTTAAGTAATGAAAGTTTAAACACGATCGATCAGAAATGCAGCAAACACGAGAGATTAAGAGCCGGACTCACGTTTCATGTCTCAGCCTCCTGATGGACACGAGGCGGCTGAACTTCGCACTCTGCTCACGCGTTGATCGCCTTTACACATTGAACATATTCGCCTAAGTGGTAATTTAATGGCTCATTGACTCGGGGAACGATTCTTTAGCTTTTGAAGGGACAATAACGTTCACGGAAAACAGCTTTGAATTTTAAACTCAAAGGTTTAAAGCCGCTCAGAACCTGGAAACAGATTATGCTTCTCTTAAAATTGGGAGGATTACGATTATTGAGGTTAACCAGAGAACACTTTCTATTGAGCCTATTGAGCATTTTATAATCAAATATTTCTTTTTACAAATAATAATCGATATTCTTTAGCATGCATTTTATCAAAAGCCACAAGCAGATTATTATTATTCTGAGGTATTTTTGTAATTTCTTATACAAATACAGAGAGTGAAATCGTAACTTAACGCAAACTAAAGATGTTTTAAATTGTTGGTTATAGTTACGTCTGAAACCATATTGTCTTTAGAAAAGAGTCAAATTGTTTGCGAGCATTGTCGACAAACACAAAGGGTCCCTTTGTGGAGAGTGATGGACGGCAGTAATTGTATTCGCCAGATTGGCCGATTTGTGTCGACAATGAAAAGCCATCACAGAGCTTTGCATCAATTAATGTCATAACTCGGGAGAAGTCACGGCGCAGAGCGCAGGAACGCGCCCGACAGGTAATTGTTGAGGATGACTGACTGCGCTCGATCGATATCTGTGAGAAAACAAAGACAAAAACACCGCAGGTGCGTTCAAAGCCCGATCAATAAACCGACGGTCCGTCTCATCGGTTTAACATCTGAAGATCGGTCCGTCTCTCAGTGACACACACACACACACACACGCAGCAAACGCTGAGTTTAATCGTTCAGCAGCTCGTCCGTCTCGCTCTGGTATTTGTCCCTGACCCAGATGTGTGTGTGTGTGTGTGGTTCCACTATATCTTTACGTGGTTTGATGCATCAAAGCTCTGAATATCGTATTGCTTTAAAGCACACAAAGTACTTCAGTGTCTCCATTCCAGGTTGGTGCCGCGATTTGAGAACTCCTTTAATCCAAGCAGGATTGAGCTGAAAACCGTTAGTCCACTGACCCGTATTCGCTGCACCTCCCAGAAGACGGCCCTCTGGAAGGACTTCTCCCAGGTGGCCAGGTCCGAGGCCAGCTCCACCCTGAAGGTGTGGCTCTGGCCGTGGCCGACCAGGATGCTGAAGCACAGCGACTCGTTGTCCCGCTGCTCCGGCGAATGCTCCAGCCCCAAGTAGAGCCGCGCCTGCAGCCAGCAATCCTCCGCCATCCACAGCTGGGACACCAGATACTAATTATTACACGATGGAGGGTTAAGAAAAACCACGTTCACAGTGTAGATTCTCAAATGGGCTCCCTGAAACATCCAATAGAAGAGAAAAAGCAGCCATCCATGCAACCTCACAGCACGCTGGGCCTCGCTCACCTTGTGGACCTTGAAAAGAACCTCGTAGAGGTTGTATGTTGTTTCAGCTTGTCCCCAGTCAGCCGCACTGATCTGAGAAATGAGACACGGAGGAGCGAATCAAAAGAAGACGGGTGTTAAATGCATAATGCAAAGCATCTGCACAGGTAGCGGAGTGACTGCCAGGACTAAGTGGCGAGATCGAACATTCACACCAGAGGAGCAGGGAGACGATCCATTTTTTTAAAAACCCCACCGACTTGCATCATTTCACTTGCAGAATATTTAAAAGGATGCTCTGCAGGGTTTAGTTTTCACGATCCTGACTGCAGCCGGCAGCGGAAAACGGATGACCGACTTACATTAAGTAATCATGTGCGCTGACTTTTAGTTCTTAATCAATGCTACGACTAAATGATGATGTCATAATTACTGTGCACTGATCGAGTGCCGTAGTAGTAGTCACGCTGCTCAAGTTACCCTCTAACAACGCTGATAGGATACTCGCCCTGTTTTTGGTGAGAAGGAATTATTTCTTCAGGCTAATTTCAGTGGCCGTGCTGACGGTTCTGCGGCGTGCTACGCTGATCGATTAAAGCATATGCACTAATGCATTCAGGCCATCTCTCCCTCAGGGATACGGGCTGCTGCCATATTTCAACAGAACATGCCGAAAGGTGCAGCCTTTCACAAGCTGCATGAGGCTTTTTGCGCCCGTGTGTAATCGGATGTGTTTATGGCTGACGACTTTACTCAACGCGATCTCCCGTGTGGTTTGGTCCGTGTCACGTGAAACGATGCTCTGCATTATCGGACAGGTCTTACTGCTCCCATCAGGCCGTAGTTACTGCACCGACTTCAAATGATCCCGTTTAGCCTGCGGGACGGTTCAGCGGAGACATTTCCTGCTACTTCGAGACCACTGGTGCACCGTGAAACTAGGACGCGCGGGCCGCATCCGGCACACACGTCGTCCCCCAATAAAGTCTGCCGTTAATGTGCAGCTTAGCGAACGCTGCTGGAGAACCTTTGCGACGGAGGAGGTGAACCACGACAGGAGTCTGATGAAAGATCTCCCCGTGGAGGCCGACGTCACAGCCAATCACAGCGCCCGCAGAGGAAACACTCGCCAAATGAAGTAAGAGGAGGAAAGAGGCACATTTTGGACGGCGATGTCTTTTATACTAATGGGGGAGCGGGGTTGGTGTCACGTGGAGAAAACACAGCACAAAAGCCCCATTTTCCTTTGTTCACTGGTCCTGGCAGTCAGGCAGAAACGTTTTTTAAGTGGAGCTGCATCAAACATCAGCCAGCGGCCGCGTTGGACGTCTCTCAGACCAATTGTATTTAGGAAACACTTTCTAAATGACACAGTGGAGTTCTGGTTTCAAAGCACATTGGATCCGCTCGTTCCCCTTTCACAATGCAGCGAAGATGTAACTTGGGTAACATTCTGTGTCTCAGGGATGCAACGTCAAACGGACCTTAAACAGATTTAACATCAATATAATATCAAGTATCTCATTGAGCGAAACCTGCAGGCTGAAAAGCTTCTCCATCCCTGACAAGAGAACACACAACAGTTGAATGTTAAGACAACGAATACTGCATATTCTTTATAATATTACCCATCATAGGAGGTCGTTCTTAAATACAAGTGTTGCCATGAAGCAGGGAAATACTAAATGTATTATACATGTGTTGTAACCACATTTAATTATTGAGGCCTCGAGGGCACTGATTACTGTGATTGTGTCAGTAGTTTGATGATGCGCTGCATCTTGCACCAGTGGGAAACATTGTTCTGGATTTCAGCAAGAGCAGAATGCATAATGCAAACAAAAATTGACTTAAATGTCACATTAAAAAAGCAGCAGTATTATCTACAGCTAAACGGTGTAACGACACTACTACTGATTAATAAAACTTCTAAACCAGTCGGTACGGAGTAATGAATCCTTAATTTAATAGTCCGGTTCAATACTTCAGACAAAAATGAAACGTTGCATAAAAAGTACTTTGAAACATATTTCAAACCTTCAGCAAACATTCTTATCTGTTGAAAACGTTTTCCGGCTGCCGCCACACTTCAGTTTATCCGATGTAATGTGGAGCAGCCAGCGAGTTTTGAATTTTGGGAAAGATAGCAGTTTTTATTTTTAATAACGGATCCCGAGGGTATGAGCCTGGTAGCAGGGATCAGATCTGCTGGCCTCTATTTCTTGGGCGCATAAATATGAAAACTACAGTAGTGGATTGTACAACAGTATAAAGAATCTACATTACGCACCAATTACTGCTCTGCCTGTTTCTCTTAATCAATCAGAACTGAAGCATACAGCATTTTAAATTTTAACACCTTTTGATGCTGATCTGAATCCGAGGTATTAACCATTTGCACGTGTGTGTGAGTTCTGTGATGGCCAGCTGTTTTGGACGAACCCCCTAGTTAACACAAAGTGACAGAACAGTTACCGGGGGGCTCCTGAAGATGTAAAAATGTGGTCCTCTCAGTGCCAGGAACTTGAAGGCCGAAGCTCTTCCAGCGGCGCCGCCCTCGGGGCTCCCACATGTCCAGCCCATGTGAACGGTCTGTGGACACGATGACAACACACACACACACAAACGGGAGTATTCACACCGGCTCAGCGAGCCGAGCGCGCCGGGGTCGCTGCGCGCGGCCGGGGGTTAGAGGAACTACAACGCCGCTGCCTCGACGGGGCTGCATTTGGAACAAACTGCAGAGCGGTGCTGCAGTCTCCGCTGCAGTGCAACGATTTTCCTTCTTCTGCTGCTGCTGCTGCTGCTGCTTTGCTCCGAGCAGCACATCTGCCCTCAGCTACACTCCGTCTACACCGGACCTCGTGATGAATAATGCACGTGTATCTTTACACGCTGCGCTCGACTCCTTCCTGACCATCTGCTGACTGAAGGGGCCATTTGCTGGCCTGTGGGTGAGCGCGCGGGCGCTCGCCGATGACACGATGCCACCCGCCCGTTACTGTGTAACGCTGGCCCGCAACGAGGGACCTCCCGCGGTGCTGTAATTAACTATCTGGTTGGAAACGGATCGGTTGGACCGGTGTGTCGGCCTCAGCTCACCTGATCGTCTGAAGGGCAGTATTTGTTGATCATCTTTATCTGTGAGGGAGAAAAACAGGCAGTGATTACAAACAGCGGTTGAATGCCGTGTTATAAGAAAGGCTTCCTTACGACCGGAAACACACATGGGGGGAAATGGTTGAGATGGTCGTAACACACATATATCATCACAAACTGTTTACATACTTTTGCTGCTCCTTGATAAAAATCTGCTGATCAAATGATTTTGCATGATTTTTTATCTAGGATTTTTCCCTGGTTTAATTAATGTACTTGAGAGCTCAAGATGATGACCGACTTTAAATCTATAAAATATTATGATTATTTCAATCTCAAGTTTGAACATTTAAGTGATTCATTAACATTTTTTTGTCAGGATTAGCGGTTTAAATAAGAGCTAATTAGCTGGCAGCTAATTATACCCACACAGTAAAAGCTGTGTAGATTTATCACTGACAATCTCAGAATAAGAGGTAAACACAGGGCTAAACACACATGCAGAGCACAAACAGCTTGCATGTATAAAAAATGCTCACAGGGGAAAACAGACTCGAGACTCGAGTATAAAGGTGAAGTCCCAGAAAAGATTGTTTACCTCTTCCAAAGTGTCTCGGAGGTGACGATGAGATGAAATGTTGTCGAACCAGTGCAACACATTTCCAGACGGAGCGGCCCCCCGCTGTGTCAGCATATTGCACTCAGCATGGGGACGGCTCCCCCCTCTCGCCCGCACCCACTTACAAAGTGAAGGTAAGTTGTCACTTCAAGTCCTCGTGTAATTAGTCACTAACAAGCTCCGTGATTCTTTCTGCTTTGGTCTCTCCAAGGGGACGTCAAGCGGCAGGGGGGGGGGGGGTCCGCCGGGTCTATTTTAAGGTCGTGGGTCATTAAAACAAAAGTTCCGCTCTCGCCCGCCCCGCCCCTCCGAAGGCGGCGCACAATTACTTCCTGATTGGCCATTTAGCAATCACACGCCACGTCCGTAATTAGGTGATGCAGCCACGAATTAATCAACCTTTTTTTTTTTTTAAAGGCAGCTGTGCGATCGGCAGCTTACAGTGCGTCCGCGTCCTCCACGAAAATGCGTCACATCATCAGGGTGATAATCAAAGTGAAACGGGAGGAAATGAGAGGGAGAGAGAGAAGGAAGGACTACTTTGCAGTCATTAATTAGAGATGATAGAAACTCTTTTTTTGTCAGCGGTTGGGGGAGAGATGCCACTGTGACTCCACAAGTGCAGGAAGGGTCTGTGCAAGCCGCTGCCGCTGCCGCGCCGGAGGGAAACCAAAAGAGCTTAAATACATGCAGCAAATGTGTGAGAAACATATTTCTACATTTTTCCTTTTATTAAGAAGTGGATTATACTATAAATTGTACTATTTTAATGGTTTTTATTGCATAAACCCAATCAAATAATATATTATACCAGCTTCTTACTTTTCTTATTAAGCACAAATGAAAGAATGCACTATACAATGTTATAGCAGTGAGTGTTGTCAAGTTATAAAAGTTGAATCCGCTTCTCGTATATATCTAAATTGCTCAGAAATATGGAAAAATTTGTTTTTTTCTCCCATTTCCTTTTCACCCCCCCACTCTCAATGAAGACCTGCGGGAAGATCGAGGCGAGTGTCTAATGTTCAGTGCACTTACGTTCTCCTGTGTCAACTCGTTGATGTTGGTCGATATTGCTTGGAGCCAGTCGGTGCTCTCTGCAGCCGTGCAAAATTGGAGAATATTGGTGGAGGCTCCGTCCAAGGCGAAGACGTCTAAACAGTTGGACCTGGAGGAGGCGAGAGGTCAAGATTAGACGGGCGCGGCGAAGATTGAAAGACACGCGCGCAAAAAGTGCAGCTCGACGCGCCGAAAAGCGTCGGATAGGAGCTGGTTATGGAAACGCCTCCACGGGGCCTCCATGACTCCACGAGTCCTTTATATATATATACGTTTGTATACGGGAGATAGTACTCGTCTGACCACTTCCTTTCTGTCACTGTTTTTAGGATTCAATGCTACTGGCTCCAATTGAAAAAAGGTAAAATAACAGTTTAACGGTAAACGAGAGACCATGAATGTGCCGTGAAGTTGCAGCTAAAGTGGAAAGCTTAAAGAAATAGTTCAGCATATCGGGGAAATACACTCGAGAGCATTCGATCAAAAGAATAAACCTGGGAGCAGCGGTAGAGAAAGCGACCCTCCACAGATTTTAATCTTTCACTGTGTATAATATTCTGTTATTCGGCATTCATTGGGGGAAAAGTCTTCCGTCGTCTCCATCTCAAGGTTATGCGCGTGTCCTCCTCTGTATTCTTCAGCAGATGCGGCGTTGATGAGGACAGCGGAGGAGAGAGAAATCTCACTCATCGGCAAAATGGGATCGTTTGTGACATTTCATTTCCGGGCTCTTTGTGTGAGCGGTAAGCGATCCCATTGGACGGGCTGACACATTGGGCCGCTTGCGTAAAGGCCGACAGGAACGTCGGCTTGTGCACACGAGAAGAGGGGAGATGACGATTGAAAGCGCAGGAGGTGAAGAGCTGATAAAACAGAAGCAATGAAAGGACGCGCGCACACACTCTCCTCACATTGGATGTCACAAAGTCAGCATTTCAAATCCTCCTGCGAGCACCAGTTTCATTCCGTATGCAGCGGTCGGCTTGTTAAAATCGTGTGTTCTGAGCCGGCGGCTCTCCGGGGGCGTTTTCCACTGGACTTCAAAATCGAGTTTTTTTTGTGTGTTTTTTTTTTTCGATTAAACACGGGCGCAAATTCTCTCTGCGACCCAAATTAGCTTTAAGCTTCTCCTTTTCTGCGATGTGTCTTGCGAGGCGAGAACCGCGGCGCCGATGACGAAGCGGGCGAGTGATGAACGGCACTTAAACAGAATCTTACAGCGTATCAAATAACACGAGCCCCTTCGAGGGCGAGCGGACGCGCGGCGAGCGGCTCCGCCGGGCTGAAATGAATCAAAGTGACAGACAGCTGGCGGATCAATGTCACGGGGGCACGCCGCCAAAATCCTCCCTTTTGAGATGGGATCTGGTGGCACTGGGATTTTTTTTTTTTACATTGCGTCCCCGGTGACACAGCGAGGCCGTAATAAACCCATTGAGATGGACCGCGGTCAACGCGGCTGAAAAATATAATGGGGGCTGGTGGGGGTTTGGGTTGTAACGGTAACCAGAGTGGAGATGCGCCACGTTTACCGATTTGTGACGGAGGGAACACACGCACACACACACACACACACACACACACACACACACACACACACAGCTGAAGTGATAACAAGACACAAGTCCAGCATCGCTCCCTCCCCTGATAGTAACTGGTTAACATTTGCCAATCGCTGCGTGCTGTTATTCTGTGCTTCTGTAACCTTTTAGACGAATCGCTTTGGACGGCTGAAACAAAAAGCCGAGATTACATCTCCGTCGGCGGGCCGCGCTGACGTCTCGGCGGTGCGAGCGAAGGAAACGAAGCGCCGCCCTCTTGGCGTCCGGCCGGTCACGCGGCTTTGAGTTCTGACTCACGAGGCGGTTCCCCAGTTAAGACGGGGTGGGTGGGGGGGGTAAAAGAGTTGGGAAAGGCTGCATTGGTACGAGCGAGCACCAGCAGACCGTTGCATGAGGTGAAACGGTCTGCAGGGTCCACATCAACAAACGCGATTGCATCCACACTGCGGGGGGGGGGAGCGTGGAGGAGGGGGGCTGATGATTGGTGGCTTTGAGGCACTTTAAGGAAACCTGAAGCCCATTTGGACACGGCGGGAAGGGGAAAAAGTCTTAATGATTCGGAAGAAGCTGAACATGCAAACAAGTGAGTGTGAGCAAGTCACATGACGTTGCCCTGACATCATCTTGACAAAGCAACATCGACCCCGATGTGATCTGTATTGGCGCATTCTGATTGACCCGTGGAGCAAACTCTTAAAAACGGACCGCTCACTGCCTCCAGGGCTTTTTATTGACTCAACTTGTGCTATTCCGGATTCAGCACTGGGGTTTGTCAGGCTTTAGAGCGACTTAAGCTCCGAATCTCATCAATACAGTCCTTCAATATTCCACTGAGTCGTTGAACTGTTGATTGGACGTCACATTTGGAGGATTTAGCATTACAGGATTGTTGCTTTATCCAAATAAGCCCCGAGGTATCGGAGCAACTCCTCGGCCATGTGGACAACATTACAGATGGAAAGCTGCTCCATTTCATCCGTTCTCATCGCCAGAGGCAGTTCTGTCAACCGGGCGACCTTGGTCGGGTGTTGTTCCTGTGTCCTTCAGAAGGGTCCTTCCTTTTTCTTCTCCTCGCCTCTGCGCTGGGAGTTTGCCCAGCGTGTTTCTTATAAGAACCTGGTTTCAGCGGCCAGTGGAGTGAGTTTATTGTCGCTTGTAATGATTGTCTGCCTCGTTGTTCATGATGATAAGTTCCAGTACAGCCACTGCAATAACTACTATAATCATCAATGATCTGCAGGAAGACCGGACTTGTGTTGTTATTCAAAGCTAACGACAGCGCTGCTCTGCTATCTGCTGCAACCTTTCAGGTCAAGAAGATATTTAACCATTATTTTCTACTTTGCGCAGATTTGTCATTCGTGTAAAACCACCTCGTTGTCCCTCGCATTAGAAAGAAAGAGAACGCGCTGATGGAAAAAGCTCCGAAAGAAAAGAAAAAAAGAGCACAGTGAAACTACTGTACACGTGGAAATCAATACAAAAGAGGACAGGCGTGATAATCCAATGCGAGCTCGCCCGGTGTTCTCGCCGTCACACCTCCCGAGCGCCGGCCTCACAGCTGCGGTGACCTTTTAAGCTGTTTATGCCTGCGCATAGATATTGGCATTAACGTCCCTTCGCTTAAATGAAAAGTGCTCGCTAAGCCAACAGCTGCGCCCGGCGGAGCCGAGCGGCTCGGAGGTGAATTATATCATGCTGGATTACCCTCACCTTAATTGATCTGTGGCAGCTTTGCATCTGGAGACTCTGGCCATCAGCAAGGGCAGCGGGACGGCATCCAGCCAGCGCTTCTCGTACCTGGGCTTATCGGCCGGGGGCGGAGGGGGCGACGGAGCCTGCGTGGGACACACCGACAATGCCGATGAGCTCCCGGCGATCGGGTCTGCTCATCAGTAGTCACGCAGCAGCACGCAGACGACATGCAGAGAATTACGGCGAGGGTCAAACCGGCACCTTTTGGCCGTTGTTTTCACTCCGCGCTCGTCTCATCTGAGGTTAAAGAATCAACTTAGAATTCACCACATTGTTTGCAGATATTTGTCTGTTATGTTCAATATCCCTCACTTATGTTTTGACCGCTAAGGAAGCCTTTATAAAGCAGCCGTTTTTGGGAGGGAATATTGTTAAAAACCATCAAGAGTAAACGAGGAATCCCCCCCAGCGTAGGAGATGCTGTGTATCTCACCATCCTGTAATAAAATGATACACATGAATGCTTCTGATATTCTCCATTTAAGAGCAAAGCGTGAAGGGTTTTGATATGCTGCTGCATGCTTTCCCACCATGTGTACTATTGTCCCCAAACACATCAAAGTGACAAACTATGTTGAGCTATAAGGGATTAAGTAATTTTTCAAACAACAATCAATCAAGTAAAAATACAATCATGAAGACCAATTTACCATAGTTGTTAGTAATACTAACAGTATACGTGATTGTCAAATCAGAATTACTACGTTTGCTTACAATCACATGCTGTTTTTTTACAATCAGCCACGTTCCGATTACTCTGGAAATGAGCTGGACTCAAAGTTTATCGTAAATAAAGTAGTAAAGAGGAAAAAGAAAATTGAAGAAATGTATATTGTCTTTGAGGTGGGAAGTAGAAAGACTTTGGCAATGACTAAATAAGTATAAATAAATACAAATAAGTACAGAGGGAGTTAACTTGTTTGTCTGAGAGGGAAATGGATGCTGGGAGACAATCCAACATCTGTTACTCTGCCACCTTCAGAGCAGCAGCTGTGAGTGTGCACAACCACATGCACTAACATGCACCCACGTGTACCAACATGCACTTACATGCACCCACATGCACTAACATGCACCCACGTGTACCAACATGCACTAACATGCACCCACGTGTACCAATATGCACCCACGTGCACCCACGTGTACCAACATGCACTAACAGGCAGCCACGTACACTAACATGCACCAACAGCACCCACATGGACTAACATGCACCCACATGCACCAACATGGACTAACATGCACCCACATAGACTAAGATGCACCAACATGCACCCACGTGTACCAACATGCACTTACATGCACCCACATGCACTAACATGCACCAACATGCACCCACATGGACTAACATGCACCCACATGCACTAACATGCAGCCACGTGCACTAACATGCACAGACATGCACCCACATGGACTAACATACACCCACAGGCATCCACGTGCACTAACATGCACCAACATGCACCAACATGCACCAACATGCATCCACATGCACCCACATGCACTCACGTCGTGCGCAGCCCGAGATAACATGTGAAGAGACGCAGACTTCATTCGCTGTTCGGGTAGAGCTTTACTCTGGGTATCCTTGCATAGGTAACAATCCTTTGTTGCTATATTTCTGTTCAAGAATGTTAAATACAGTGTTATTTTATACAGAGTGTGGAACAGTGAATACGGCTCGTTTAAAAAGTGTGTGTGTGTGTGTGTGTAGAGGCAACAAAGTGAGAACAAATTCAGATAAGGAAATAGCGACGAATGCTGCGCGGTTTAAGCATCGTGAGAACGAGGCCCAATGTCTCCTCACGCCATTTGCTCATTAACAGGGAAAAATATACTGTTTTTGTAAATTGATGGATTACATTAATCTTGCCAGAATTTTGTCCCTGCGAGCGTTAATGGATTTTTGAAAACCGTGGGCCTGCAGTACGAGCGTCCGACCCTGGCGAACTCACAGGTGCATTTAGGCTTTTCATCTGCAATAAATGAGCATTAAAAAAATCTATAATCACAGCGTAAATGTACCTGGCTTAAAGCAATCACAAATGTGTTAATGCCCGGCCATGGCTACTTCCTGAAGTTTGCAATACCCATTGAGCAATCTTTTAATCTTGGGCAATTGGTATTACTACTTGTATCAAAGTCGGAATTGTGGCTTTATAGCAAGAAACAACACATTATATTTCAGAGGCCTCTTTAAAATGGTTCTAAATAGTCAAGTTTAATAAAGACTTTGGGCAGTGCATCTAAAAGCTTCCTTTCCAAAGATCCCGAAGCAGAACGCGTTGCCAAAAGCTTTGAAAGCCGGGAGTGTGTCACATTTAAATGAAGAATGGATGCATTGTAGAATATTATCTAATGAGTTACGAGCTTACGGAATCAAATCAGTGGAGCTTAAGCAGCATCAAACAGTGAATCATTCCTGCAGCTAAAGATGTCACAAAATCCCAAACCGTGTCCAAACAACTGACGTAGCCTCAGCAGCAATGTACACAGGTAGGTGTGTTCACGCGGGAACGACCCAATCACCTCCCTCCACTTCACAAGGACGCCACATAAAAAAGCCTCGAGTGGAATCCTGAAAAGAGGTAAACAGCCGACCTTCCTGAAATGAATTGCACATCATATCTGAAGTACAACGCGCGGCACGCGACTCCCGTCAACTCCTAATTATTACATTTCTGAAGAAATGATCACCCTTTGTCCCGTTTGTGTCAAGCCAGAACAAAACTCTTCAGTTGAGCCTCAAGTGGAGCCGGCGAGGGGGCAGGAAATTGAAAACCATCGGGCTGTTTGAGTGGATTACACCGACAAAACACGTGCTCCTCCTGAGGAGGACAGAGTGCTGCTCTTCACGTCATTCAAACAGTCCACCGCGAATACCGATACTTCATCGGTGAAGCGTCGTTATCTGAAAACGCATGTAAATGAATCACAGAGATAGGAGCATCGCATCAGTTATTTCGGTGTCGAGAGCCTGCGGAGGACAAAGCGGAGTGGATTCTAATCACCTGCAGAGGAGGAAGATGCTTCAATCTCATGAGTGAAGAAAAAAAATCAACCACGACGTGTTCTCGTATTGTAACAACAACCACGACACATTGTCCTCAGGGAGTCTTTTTTTTAGCGCATTAGCCTGCTAATATTTGCTAGTTGGCCCTAAAAACAAACGAGGTGGATGGTAAAAGTTGATATTTATGTTTATTCAAAAGCCAAAGGACAAAGATTCTCAGGTGATAATTGAACATCATTCCGCTAGTGTGTGAAAAGCAACCATGTGACGTACAAACAAATTCCGCCGAGTTGTAGTGAATTATATGATGGAGAGTTACTTAATGTGCAAACCCTTGAGCCCTCCAACCAACCACCATCTCTCTGTTATCTGTCAAGGTCGGACCTCCGAGGCGATTTACAGAAAACGCTCTTCAACCACAGCAGACGGGCCGCTGTGAGCTGCAGATGGGAATGAAAAGAAGCCCTTTAAGATGACGTGATGTTTGCAGCACGGGTAAACCATGGATATGCACTTTTACTTAACGTTCCTCTGAGCCTCGTTAGGACAAATTATTAAGAAAAGTACATTTGGTTTTGTTTGGTCTCAGATTTGCACGATTCACAGCATTTTAAAATGATTGTTAATGTCAACGTCTCTTTGTTGACCTTCAATACCCCCCCCCCACCCAACCCCTCCCTCCCCATGGATAAACTCAGCTGGCCTTGCAGCATCCAGCGGTTTAATGCACAGGCTCAGAGAGCGATATGAACCTCCCAAAATAAATTAATTTTTCTGTTAGGAAAATGGGGGCATCACACCCCCCCGCTGCCCCCCCACCCCCCCAGCGGCTGCGCCCAATCTGTGTTTATTGGGCCAGCTGCCGGTGGAGAAATCGCTGTCTCTCTCTCTCCGTGTGATTGTCGAGTCTTAATGAAAAAATAGTGCGTCTATGAGGAGTCTGTCCTCCCGAAGGACATCAAACTAAATGCATTTACTGAGTTGAGAAAACGAATAAATAGTGGTGACGTTTGGCATTGAAACAACACGCATTGCGTGTGGAGATTTAAAATAATCTCGGCGTGGTGCTGAGCAAAAATATCTCAATATTGTCTCAGTGCTCTATGACAAACGCGTCTCGCTGGCCTCAGCAAATATTCAGCAACCGGCTGAAGGTTTTGCAGGCGGATCTCGTGCTCGTTAACTTTGTTTCCACGTGTGTGAATCGTCACGCTACGTATCCCGTGTGAGCGCGAAGCGTTGGGGAGAGTTCCAGGCCTTAGAATCGTGGCACCAGCTGAAAGCGCCACATGGAGCTCGGTTTTGGCGTGAGCTCTGAGCGGGCTCATTAGAGCCGGAGAAACCTTTCCCATAATGCACCGCTTTGCACCGTTGTTAGTAGCGCAACTTTAAATTAGTCCGACAAATTTTCAAACCTTTCATGAGGAAAATTCTCAAATGAGGAAATTATAGCCGTTGCTTAAAGCAAGAGTCAGCAGCCGGGGAAATAATTAGGAGCGCCGCGTCCGTCTCTTTCACGATGCAGAATGTGCGTTTCGGGTCATTTACCGTCCAACCATTGGTCAACCTCCGGCTCCGTGACCCTTTCCATAACATGACTGTTTGTAGGAATTTTTAATAGTATGCAATTTTCTTCTTTTGCTGGGGAAAAAGAAAAGAGGTTGCCCTACTTTTGTGAGAGTCTGGAGGCTTCCTATCATTATAGTCTAAACATTAAAGTGGATTCAGGGCTCATAGTGCACTGGGGAGAAAAAGAAATGACACAACACGCAATTACTCTAAGAACAAAAACAACCACTGACATAACGGCCTTATTTATGAGGCAAGGAGAATCTCGCTTGACTTTAACTGGAGGCCGGCTCTTGCTATTTTCTGCTTTCTCGCTGCTTGAATCCTATTTCTGTTGAGAGGAAACCGCCTGGTTAATTGTTTTTGTCAGCCACCGAGTCTCCAACTTCAACCGGAGAATTAATTGTAAAGATCCCTGCTGCCTGCTGACCCGAAATGTCGCGCTGAGTCATCGCTTGCTTTTTTTTCGCATAGCAAGGCATGTGTCACGGTCTATTTTGTTACTTTTTTTTTATTTTTAGCATGTGCTAAAGCATGTGCATGTGCAGAAAGGCCCGTGGTGCACCGTGACAGCTGCCCTCCGGGCTCCTGCAAAGGACTTTAAATAGAAACACTTGAAATCTAGATTATCCATAAAAGGTTAAAGTGGCCCCCTGCTGTCCTACACGCCTTTTCTGAATTATTCATGGGAAATGACAGCGGAGAGATGCTGGCTACTCTTTTCATTATAGATAACCGTTATAATGTGCAGTCTTCTCAAGACAATTAAAACTGCAAAAAAATGTGCTCGCGGGAAAGAAGGCTAACGTTTACCTTTTAATTCTCCACCGCCGGGTATTCGTACCCATGCAGACGTCACGAGCGTTTGGCTATTTGGATAACGAGCTGCCGCGTGCGTGTTCAGTGAAGATGGAAACATCCCTCTGTGGAATCAGACCGCCTCGTCGTCACAGCAGCACGCGGCGTAATCACTGACCCCTCCGCCATCGCACCAAGGTCAGGGAGCTAATGACATGTTTGCAGGAGAACGCGGAACAAAATGAACCCTTTGAACTCCTCGCTTTTAATCCCAGCCCGCCGATTGGACTGTGCAGCGTTTTTCTGTGGCGCATCGACCGCGAGGCTGCGGACATGACGGGAGAATGAACAACGAGGTGGAATTCCCCACATTCAGCTTGTAATGATCAAAGCAAATTCATTCACTTTGTCACTTTCTGTTAGCTTATAAAACGCTATAAAAAGAAGGGGCCGCTTTGTAGCCGCAGCTCTCACAGAATCAATGCTGGGGGGGAAACAAGATAAACCCTGACTTATCAACACAGACAGTTCGACTGAGATAAGTTTAATGTCCTCTGAGCAGAGATCAGGTCCACAGCAGTCGGCTTTTGGGGCCACTCTTCCTTGGCGCATGTGCGCAGAGGGCGTTGTGGATTACTTTCATATATAATAACATGTCAAAGACAAAGCTGATTTGTAGCAGCCGCAGTCCATAAAGACTCCGGCTGCAGCAGGTAGCGCCGCTAGCGGTTAGCCCTGCCGAGCTGCAACGATTGAAACCGAGTCTCTGTAGCCAGACACGGTTGATTGGTTGTATCTCTTCATCCTGCTGCCCCCCCCCCCCGATGTTAAGTGGTCGTCAGTGACGCCGTGATGCTCGTTGTAGGCGGATGGTTTTTATCCTTTCAAACTTTCTTCACGGATAAACCAAAATAGAAACCATGAATGTTTAATGAACAAGAGGACTGCTGGCGACAGTTTCCTGTCCTTAAGAGGCCACGAACATCCTTCCTTCATTGTGGAAAGTTACCAGATAAAAAGATGGACTCATGCAAATATTTTCCCGGTGAGAAATCAATTGCATTATTTTGCTAATTAATCTGATTATAAAGTAATTACCTGTATTACTTGGAACAGAATATAGCCGCCCACTGGTTTTCCTCACAAAAAGCCAATAGCATTTTCATAAATAATCATCAGTAATGTGAACATAAATATGCCTAAAAGACTCTGGAGGCAAACAACAGAGTCGCTAAAGGAAATGGGGGAAAGCCAACATTTACCCGATAAGATGAAATCCAAATATCCAAAATCTAACAAGTCTATCTAGTCTCATATCACAATATTGATATATTGTGACTTTGACTTGAGTCCCAGTGCTGCTCCACCCACACTGGCTGTCTAATGAGCCTGGATGACTGCTGTGTGTGTGCGTGTGCGTGTGTGTGTGTCCAGATGCAGATGAAACACTCCAGGTGGGATTCACACGACTGTGCAGCCTCGGCTGACCTGCGTGTGCAGCTGCTCCCCGGCCAAACGGGGACACTGGTCTCACTTGAGCTCTTTCAAACCACACGTGACGTGGTCATACATGTAGGCCTGAGGGCTCCACCGGCGGACGCCTCACACACACACACACACACACACACACACGATGCATTCTGCTACAAAGGACGGTTGGTCAAATGAAAGGCACAGGCAGCCTTAATGGACTCCTAATGGACTCAGTCTTGCATTTGAGTGATGCACTGCAAAGGCGGAGTGGATTCTTAATTCTTTTTAACGACACGCCGCTGAGACAGAGTCAAGTACCCGAGGCATCAAAAAGACTTTTCTTACTGTGTTGTTTCCGTTTCCATTGAGATGTACGCCGCTGTCGAAGAGCGGCGAGGACACTCGGCTGTGATCGGTGGACGGCCCCGGAGAGCCTGAGAAGCAAAAAGACGAGGATTTATCTTCTCTGCAAAACAGGCTAATGGACAATCCCCCCGCAAAGCATTTAATCCATCTTCACATCCGCTTTATTATCCAATATAGTCGGAAGACAAAAGATGAGTCCAGGATCGCCCCTAAACCTCAAACGTCACGGTGTGGAAAGAGGAGCGTCTCACGGGCATCTCTCTGACGGGACGTTAGCTTAGCACGACGCTCAACGCGGGAGAGAGTGACGTGTGGTCACTAAGTACGCTATAAATATTCATGTCTGTTAGTGTTGATCCTCTTTTCTGTCATGAATTGCTGATCATTTCATTCTTTATATTGAGCCGCATCTCCACATTTATGTTTACATATTCATCCATATGTAGGATTCAGAGCCTCAGATCAAACGTGAATGAGTGAATTTAAGACTGGCTAAAAATCTAGTTAATCAATTTTGAGTGACCAAAAAACAATGAATCAAACTGCACCTGTCACTCAGTTGCCATAGAGACGAATGAGTGACTGGGTCGGCGGCCACACTGATCCTATCCGTCGTTTTCATTATGCGTTATAATACATGATGAACTAGGACGCAATATCTTCATCCATCTCCTACGCGATATTAAAAAAAGGGCAAAGCAGTCCCATCTATCTTTAAAACAGCCCATTAAATCGCCAAACTTTCCAATTTGCGTTTTGTTCTCAGAGCTGCTTCTCTCACCTCTCAGCCGCCGAGCTGCTCTCCACCTTTCTAACGGAGGATTTCTACAGCCCGGCGCCCTCAACTCTCCAAGCGGCCCGCGGGTGAGCACAGGAGCAAGGGATTCTGGGTGTTTCTGACATTACGGCTGGCCTCAGGCCACCGAGCGGGACGACTCACCGCTTTGCAATAAACGCTCGTTTTATCGAGCCGCTATTAAGCGCCGAAGCGCTAAAAAGACAATCTCCCATCGAGGCGTCACACTCCCTTTTCCCGCCGACGGCGGCGTGGAGTTTACGGTCAGCTTCCTCTCACCTAGAGGCAGTTTCAGGAACGACGGAACTTCCCGCAGGTAGCGCACGGTGACGGTGACCTCGTCGCCGGCGGTGCGCAGGAGGTGAACCTGAGAGGAGCGAGGCGGAGAGAGAGAGAGACAGACGGGAACGAATTTCATCTCCAATAAGTGACAACAAGCCACGTTCACGTCAGGACGTGCAGCGAATATGAGGTCATAGGTTAAGTTGAAGTTATTGTCAATCATCAAGAGGCGGGACGCCGCGCGTCGGTCTGATTATTTGAGGCGTTCAGAGAAGCTTCGGTTGGAGGATCGAAATATTTAAGCCGTCTGTCTTTGTCGCGCATCTCGGGGGGAAAAAGCGGAAGCGACACTTGAGCGCCGCCGCCGTCACTGCTCCTCGCCCTAAAAAAAACGCACACCCGCCATCACATCGCCGACTATCCTCTCTCAGACTGCACGGCCGCTCGAGCCCGAGCAGCTGTCAGCGCTGCAAGTAGAGGCGGCCCGCCGTTAAAGCGCCGTGGATCTTCTTCTGGAGAGAAACTGCTCATTACGCGTTTTGACGCTGCGCAGGTGAATATAGTGAACAGCTGTGCGGGTGTGTGACGAGAGACGTGTGTGTGACGAGAGACGTGTGTGTGTGTGCGCATGTTGGCACATAATGAAATGAAATGTTTAACAAAAAGAGAAGTTTGAACGAAAAAGGTCCCACGTACATAAACGCTGCCAAATATCAGCACCCTCAGCCCCTGAGCAGCTTTGGATAATGAGCCTCGTTTTCTATTTTAGCAGAACGCGGGTCGCTGCAGGTTGGTGTTGACGGTGGGGGAGGAGGGCAACTCATTCAACGGTCAATCACAGATGTACTCACAACTTCCTTGTGCGTGCAGGGCTCCACGTTTATGCCGTTGACCTGGAGAAACCAACAGGGAGAGTGGGAAAGCACACAAGTAATTACACAGTGGCGAGCGCGTGTAATTAAGCAAAGCTAAGCTCATTTAGCGCGGCGACGGGTCCAGGCGAGGAGGGGGTGGGGGGGGGGGGGCAGGGGTGGAATGCGATTACCAACCCCCGTCCGTCCCCCACCTGCAGCCCGCGGCAGACTACTTTGGTCTGGATGCGGGCCGGAGGACCTCTCCTCGTTCAGGTGACCTGCGCTTTTCTCTCAAAACACCGTCCGCTACCCGCCCCGCGACCCGCCATCGACCTCCATCGACCGCCCGCCGACTCTCTCCTCACAGGCAATAAAGCAGCGGGGTGCATCTGGTGAGGGGATAACAGCTGGGTTGTGTGTGTGTGTGTGTTTGCTTTGGCTAACTGCGTCTCGGCCTTTGCTACGCGGCTCACTTTCAATGTTTCGGCCGTGGCGTTAACCCGCTTTACAGTCCACAGGTCTTTTTGGCTGCAGTGACCTTGAACCGATTCCGTGACCTAAACGGAACCGAGGAAAGGCTTCAAGATCAAACCATGGAGTGACACAAAAACAAGCACAAAGAGGAACACAATGGCCGCAAAGAGGGAACAAAACCACACCACAAACGCACATAGAATCACCAAGACGCACAAACCGACTTTCCCACAGGGATCTTTACATGTCTGATAGCAGCTATGCATCAAGATTATTAATACTATAATATTAGAATAGAAAGTCTATTTTCTCTTCGTTTATTCTACTCTATTCCTCCCCGCCAAGGCTTATGCAAATAGATGCAATAGTCTGCAGTGTGACAATGCAAAGTCTTTGCAAAATAAATATGACACCCGAAAAGGTTGAAGCAATAGCAATTCAATTTATACGATTCCTAATAACTTCCAATATGAGTGTTGCTGTTGCTCGGCTGTCCGATGAATCTGTGTTTTCTAGATAAACAGCTCGACAAATCGACATGCCGGACAGATTCAAATGAACTTTTTAAAAGATTAAATGAACGGCATTACTGAAGACGGGATACTTTGGGCTTCGGATGAGTTTAGAGCTTGTGATTAATCTAAACCACAGAATGAAAGAAATAGAAGTCAAAAGAGCAGAGATTCATCACAAGACTCATTTGATCAAATAAATAAATAAAGTCTTCCCCCCCATTTCGGAGATGAAATTACACTCTGTCAAAGGAGAAGAGGGGCTGAAATGGAGACGCGACAAGTTGTCGCCCCGGATCGACCTCGAGGCGAATGGAGCGGGACGGATGTACCGACCTGCAGCACGGCGTCCCCGACGAACAGCTTCCCCGTCCGGTCCGCTGCAGGCGGGTCAGAGGTTAATGAAAACATTAACAAGTAATTGTTCATTTCATACACGGTGACGTAGGGAAGGGGACGGGGGGGCTGGGCGGCGAGCGCTGTCCCGGCCCGACTAATCTCTGGCAACGTCAGCTGGGGGAAAGAACACGGGGGGGGGGGGGGGGAAGCGTGAAATTTAAAGCTAAGCGGGCTGTAAACTCATTTGCGACAGCCGCAAAAAGACAAATTACAGGGAAAGGATTCACTCGCATGAGGCTGTGATATCGCAGCCCGACAGGCCAAGCTGGTGGCTCTTTGCTTTTACGGTTCCCTTCCGCACTTTAACATACAATCTTTATTCTCATTTCTGTCTAACAGTAAATTAACTTGAGAGAACGGAGGGAGGATCGATAATGTTGTGACGAGCTCGGTTTATCTCGAAGGATAACAGGTGACTCGTACATCTTTGGTGCACCTCGCTGGTCATCAGAAGCATTACTGTGTGTGTGTGTGCGGGTTGAGACCCTTTGGTGGAGTGTTTAGGGGGAGAACCAAGCTAATTGTTTCCCCACGTTTCCAGTCTTCATGCTGGAGTAAAATGGAAGATGCTTCAGAAGTGGTAGAGGAGTAAAAGCTTTTTAACACTTGAGCTTTCTCTTTGGGTATAAATCCCCCCCCCCACTCGATCAATGCTGTTCAACACAGGTCCGAATCCACATTGAAGTAGAGAAACAAGACACTTTCTTACCTACTTGATCTTTAAAGATCTTTGAAATGACCACGGGCACGTTGTGCTCTGCACCGCCCTGGAACGCAGGAGAGAACAAATTCATTCGCCTGCTGTTGACTTCCGGTGCACAAATGTTGCCGCTAAAACGTCTCTCTCCTCCCGTCTCTCTCCGCGGTCCAACAAATAAAAACGCTTACTTTGATGCTGAGGCCCAGACCGCCAGCCGCCTGTCTTCGCAGTACAACCGTTCTGTGCTTTAGAAAGGGGGGAGTTTCTTATTGGCAATAAGGTGTCGCGAACACCGAAAACAGCATCCCGGGGTTGTGCGTCATGAATGGTGACTGCGAAGAGCGGAGCCCTCGGGCGCACTTACATTTGCCGGGGACTCGCTTCCACTCGTGCAAACCACGTCCAGCTTCTGGATGGTCAGCAGCTCTTTGGTCAGTTTCAGGCAGACGTCGTAGGTGTTGTTGGTCTCCTCGTTGTACAGCAAAGCAATTCCGGATTTTGTCTGTTGGAAATGAGGAGAGGAAGTGACATTTTGCAGAGCAGTCATGTAGACAATGAACATGTTAGCGTCACGCATGTTCCCCCTCGTTTTTCTGCTCTACCTTTGTCCGGGTTCTGTAAAAAAGCTCATCGGGTTTTATTAAGTTAACTACTACATTCTGATAAATGTGATTTCATCCTTTGATGATTGTCGGTAAAGAACATTTTGCCAAACGCGAAGGATTTAGATATTTGTAATATTTTTCTGGGGCATAATAAATAGCCCCAGTATTGTTATTGAAAAAGACAGTACATCATTTTAAGAATGGCAGAAGAGGCTCAATTCCCTCATGTTTTGGAAACGCCATTATTTTTCCGGAGCTTCATCACAATCCTGCCAGCGGAGTCAATGCCGCTGATGGATGGTGTGACGAATAGAAAAAATGAAAAGCACAACAGCTCATGTTTGATGGGAAAAACAATTGCCAGTGGAAGTGAAGTGACTTGACTCTGAGTCGGAGCAAGCGTCCCTCAGTATGCAGCGGGAGCACAGAAGCAAAAGGAACCCGAGGAAGGACATCGGCTACCTGTAAATGTTGTGAAAGAGGATAAACGACCATTCAGAGCATTCATTCGATGCTTTAATCCAATGCTCGCCATTCGAAGACGGGAACAATGAGGGCTTTCTGTCTCTGAAGATAACTTGTGGACACGCGTCCTCAGAGACTGCTGGGCCTTCAACGTTATTCTTTCATCATTGACTATTCGGAGAAAAAAAAAAAAAAGCCTTTAAAAATAAGCATGGGAAGAGAAAACAACGGCTGCTGGACAAGAAGAGGCTTATTTTGAACGCGCTCGTCTTGTCTTCCTTTACAAATACATTTTCTGTGTGCTTTGAATAATTGTGCGACTGCCCGGAGCGTCCCAGTGGGGAGCTGTAAGGTTGTAAGAGAACCCTGACGGTAATAAGACGGAGACCAGGGGCAGAAAAATAAAATGTGAGCAGCGTGTTGTCCTGCAGATCTGTGTAGCAGAAGATCGACCTTTTCGTCGATGATGCGAGTTGGTGGGAAAAGGGTGACAATCCGTACGTGAGTGAGGTCAAGCAATTCTCTTTTTAAGAGACTCTGCAATGAAGGTCGGGCTCTCTTCCCGCTGCCGGACTCGGGGGGGCCGGGGGAGGGTCCCGGGTTCAGGCGGGGGGGGGGGGGGCTCGACAGTGACATCGCCACAGCTGCCGTGGAGAATAAACCCTCCCCAATGGGGGTGACACACAGACGCTGCTGCTAATAAGAAAAACATGCACAATAGTCTTTTGTGTCGTATCTTTTACTTCCTTATCTTCACCCGGCAGCCCGGCACAAAGACACCTTTCTTTTTCTGGCCGCCTCGTGGAACAAAAACCCACATGCGATGGACGGGGAGAGCCGGCTTTTAAATGCAGCACGAGGCGTTGTTGATCGCCATGGAGACCGTGGACGGTTACATATGTTGAACGTAGCATTTAGCGATGGTTGCTACAGCGATGGAAATATGCGGGCAAGCTGACGTCCTCTATGAACCCGTTGGGCTTCTCAGGCCGGCCCCCCCCTCGCGGGTGACTGCGTGCGGCCACGTGGGATCCAGCAGCGCGTTCGGCGGTGCTTTCGTGCAACCTCATCTCGTCCGTGCAGATTGAAAACAGGAGGCGCACGTGCACCTAATGCGATCTTGTTAAGACGCGCGGCGCTGCTGGTGCATGTTCTGCTCAGGCAGTCTGTCACGTATTCTCTAATCCAATGACAAAACAAACAAACACGCAGTTAACATTTAAATCACACAGCCGCTGCAGGAGCACATCTTGTTTGCAAGATCCGAGCTGAAGTAGGTGGAGATCTTATTCGTCGTCATCCTCTTTCCCCTTGAAACCGCCACAGACGCACCGAGCAGCCGACGACCAAACGCAACCACGCAACGTGTGTCTGTAGTTTTGGCGGCACCGCTGGCGAGCGATGGATGTGGGACCGTAAGATGCGGATGGACAATTTCTGCTAAAGTCGAGCTGTTACTTTTATAAAACAGTGATGCAGTGACCTTTCACAGCTGCCATAACCGATCATTTAAAACACGGTCAGGTGATCTCGACAGACCGGGAGCGTCATGGCGAGACATTATATTGTATTTATCAACAGCGCTACGTGAGTCTCATCTTATTCACAGTCAAGTACCTCGTATAGACAGCGTCTTATAGAGTTTAATGCTTTTTAAAATGAATATCTGAATGCATTTTATTGCATTGAAAAGCTTAATCATGAGTTTTTGTGCCGTGTTTGGAGTCTTATCAAATCCATTTGTCTTCCGTCTGTATCAAAAGTTTAAAATAAAAACCCAAAGACGTCCTTCAGATCTGATCTCTTTGTTGGCGGAGGATGCAGAAGCACTTTAGTTTTGAGTGGCACTATAATTTATTTGTGTTATTACTGATATGAGGCTTGAATACCAGATGAGCACAGAAGACACAGAATGAGGGTTTAATATTGCCAGGAAATAACAGCTGTAGCTCACGGACAAGTTCCTCTCAATACTAGAGGCCCTGATTCAAAACTGTTGGGCTTTGAATATTAATATGACATAATGGAAATTTAAACTGGAAGGATCCGTACAGATAGAAAGTCGCCACCAGTTAGCCGATAAAAAAATAAAAGTAGTTTCACGGACAGAATTATCTTTGGCTGAACACAGAAACCAGCTGGCAGGAAGTGTTTTAACAGACAACGGCCAAAAGAGTCATTAATCCATTTGGCAAGTAGCTTCCTCCATCAACAAATTAGTATTTTTTGAATAATTAATTCAATCGAAACTGCCCCAAAATCTGCGTTTTGGGTGAACAAACCCCCCTCAAGGGAAGAAAATCTATTTTTAAAAAGGTTAAAAGCGTTGTTCAACTAATCACTGGAAGGTTTCTTCTTTATTGTAGTGTTTTTCTGAAGTATACTAAGACTTATAAATGTCAGCAGAGGCTACTGGGTCATTTGAATAACTACATAACTTGTAGCTCACCTGCTGAGCGGAGCTCTCCCCTCAAAGACAAGAGAAGGTCGCAGGCTGTTTTGTTCACTTTTTAAATCTCTATTTACTCTGTGAGCGCAAATTTGACCTGACGGTCCGTGATGAGGCCGATTCGTCACACCGGCCAGAGGGGGTCTAATAACGCATCAGCGTCAAGGAGACCAGAGGCTTATTTCCATTTGGCAATTTGATTCGCGTTGCTAATTGATTAATGACCATGCAGAGTGCGCATACAGTTAAGAAGATGCATCGGATCAAATATCAAGGTCGACCCGTTAGGCCTCATCTCTTTATTAACCACCGAAAGACCTGGAAAATTACCAATACCAAATTACCAGAGCAGAGGAAAACAGCCTCAATGTAGACAGATCGCTGGGAAAAGCTCTTCTGCTGGTTTTTCTGCAACCAGTCAGCCAGAAAACGTGGCGATATCAGCAAGCTAATGTTAGCTCGCTAACTAGCCAGCCGCTCAAGGGGAACGAGGAGACACCTAAATGCTTCTTCTACCGCCCGGTGTCATAAAGTAGACAGGAAGTCACTTCCAAACCAGTCACGGACAAGCCTTCCAATTGTTGCAGAAACCAGTGTTCATGTACCGATCCTTTTTCCCCGATCATAAAAAGGAAATCTAATAGTTTAGTTCAAAAATAGCCGAATAATTCTGACCATGTCCAGTGTTTTTCCATCAGCTGCCCGTGCAGGAGGCCCGTCCAGCCGTGTGTTCACTCGGTCCCTGCTGTCCGTTGCATCGATTTGTGCTCGCATGCATCTTTTATGAGTTCTCAATATTGTAACTTCAAAACAGGACATTTCGATCCGGGGCGGCGGAACGGCGCGTTACGGCTCAACTTGTTTTGCGGCAATCTGCAGGTTGACCGGTCGCCCGTCAGGTAGATTGTCTGCCATGTGTAATTAAACACGGGCCGCTGGCCTCCGCGCTGTAATTTACATCGCGTGCGGCTGACCACGCGTCGTGGCATTTCTCCGCTTCTCTGCCTGAGCGAACATCGCTGGGTTCGGGGTTTTTTTTTTATTCAGTTCACACCTCGGCGCCGCGCGAGACGCCGGCTGCAAAGTGTCTCCGAGCGTCTTCTCGACTGCTCGCCGCGTCTGAAGCTCCGCCGGGAGACGGCGAAGAACACTTTGCACGGTGGAAAGAACGGCCTCAGAGAAGATTTCACTCCGCCTGCCGCATGTGAACAGGAAGAAAATCACGGTGTTCGCTTCTTGCCAGGGTTTTATTCTGCTAAGAAATGCTGTTGGGGGGGTTAGTTTCTAAATCCACTGGAAATGAAGCACTACTTTCAGGCGTTTTTTACCCTACAACGGTAAAACATAAAAGGGTTTAAGAGTTAGATTGATTTATCATACAATAAAAAACGCACAGAGGTTATGCTGAAAACCTTTAAAACATTTAAGTGATTGGTATCGTAGATATGACCCATTGTGTGCCCTACCCAATAATTGTCTACCAATTAGGATTATTCATAAATAACTAATACCAGGATAAATGACCTAATTTGCAAAAATAAAAGTTGAGATTTGTTCTCAGTCTCAATCCGTTATATAATCTGATTAATCATCTGCTAGCTGATGAATAACTAAACGTAGAACTGTTTATTTAGATCTCCAATGAGCTTTTGGAGGCGGGGGCTGTTTTTTAGAGGCCATCTAATTTATGTTCACAACGTGAAGCTACAATCTGTAAATGAGATGAGCAGCAAAGAGCATTAAATGTTCATTAAACGTGTTCGACACTCTGTCAACACCACGTCCTCCCAGTTCAGGATGGATAACCACACTGATCCCCCAAGAAGGACCAAGAGTCGCCAGTTACTCTTTATTTTAACTGCTTCGCACTTCGCGCATCTACTTTTTGAGTGCTGATTACATAAGATCTCTATAAGATATTATTCATGCTCGTACGTAGAGCAGCTGCCTCGCTAAAGTACCATAACGGCTCCTTTTAAAGTC